ATGGAGAATTCTCGACAGCCTTTTTGCTCTCACCGGTGATGTAGTAAATGTCATTCTGGCCCTCCTTCATCCTCGTAACATAGTCCTTCAGGCTAGTCATCTCATCTCCACTCTTTGTAGAGTGGAATCTCAGCAACTCTGCGACCTTTGACCTGTTCTGAGAATCCTCATGGATTCCAAGCTTGAGATTCTTTGAGAACGCCTCATAGAACTTGTTGTAGTCCTCTTTGTTTTCAGCAATCTCAAAAAAGAGCTCGATGCATTTCTTGACCAGGTTCTTCCGGATGACCTTGAGGATTTTGTTCTGCTGGAGCGTCTCTCTTGAGATGTTGAGTGGAAGGTCCTCAGAGTCGACTATTCCTTTGATAAAGCTCAAGTACTCAGGAATCAGTTCTTCACAGTTGTCCATAATGAAGACACGACGGACGTAAAGCTTGATGTTGTTAAGCTTTTTCTTTGTGTCAAAGAGGTCAAAAGGAGCCCTCTTTGGCACGAAAAGAATGGCCTTAAACTCAAGCTGGCCTTCCACAGAGAAGTGTTTCACAGCCAAGTGCTCCTCCCAATCATTAGTGAGACTCTTATAGAATGCGGCATATTCTTCCTTTGTGATATCTTCAGGCTTCCTCATCCAGATAGGCTTCTGCTTGTTGACCAAAGACCATTCATGAGAAACCTCCTTAATCTTCTTCTTTTTCTTCTCTTTCTCTTCCTTCTCCTCATCAACATCTTCCACCTTACCTTCCTCAGCATCCTTTTTGTCCTCCTCATCCTCATCATCAGAAATTTCTTTCTCCGTTGTCTTCTCCGACCAGAGGGAGATGGGATAGCTGATGAATTCAGAGTGCTTTTTTATCAAGTCTTTGAGACGGCGTTCCTCAAGATATTCCAACTGCAAGTGTATGAAGCACAATGGATGATCATATTCATAAGCTAGAATAAATAGACAAGAATAATAACTTTGTCGGACAGGGACATGTCCATTGGGAACAGATTTAGAAGTCAAGACAATAAAGAACATAGATGACACTGATCAATGTCAACACGTGACAGGTCATGCATTTATAAGATTGAAGAAATACAAAGGTAGCATGTACGTATTACTAGAAATGCAATGTAGATCATAGAACTTCTATTTGTACATAACAAAGAAACAAATACAAGAATGTAGTAGCATACAAATTAAATCAAGGCAACCTTCAGATCTTATTTAAACAGTCACTGTTCCAGTTACTGCAGGCAAATCTGAAACTAAACAGCAATCTCATGACACCATATAGACTATGACACTTTCAGAACCTTTAATCTATGGAAATTTAAATTAACATCAGTAGAAGTATTTGCAATACCTCTAGGAGTTTCAAAGATTGGCTCTTCAAGCTTGAGCAAGAGATATAGACATGCATATACCACCATATGAATTATGCATACAGAATTAGTGCACCAAACATGTACATATCACCAGAAATGCATTGTAGATCATAGAACTTCAATTTGTACATAACAAGAAACAAGTACAAGAATGTAGTAATGTAAAAATTAAATCAAGGCAACCTTCAGATCTTATTTAAACAGTCACCGTTCCAGTTACTAAAAGCAAATCTGAAAATAAACAGTAGTCTCACAACACCATATAGACTATGACACTTTCAGCACCTTTAGTCTATGGCAATTTAAATTAACAACAGTGGGAGAAGTATTTGCAATACCTCTTAGGGTTTCAAAAATTTGCTCTTAAGACTTGAGCATGAGATACAATCATGCATATACCATCATACAAATTATGTATACAAAATAAATAGTTATTTTCTTTTCTTGCCTTGATATGATCATCATATGAATACCATCTACTGGTTATGGATATAGAATTAGTGCAAAGTAATATTCTTAATTTTTTTTATATTGTCTTGCCTTATAAATAGTTCCATCTAATAACAGTCATACAACTTATGTATATAGAATTATTGCATAGGGATGTCCTTGATAGTTTTTTTTCTTTTCTTGCCTTGATATTATCATCACATGAATACCATCTACTGGTTATGGATATAGAATTAGTGCAAAGTAAAATTTTTAATATTTTTTCTATTTTCTTGCCCTGATTAAATTGCTCCATCTAAAAACAGTGATATAAATTATGTATACAGAATTAGTGCACAGGGATTGTCCTTAATAGTTTTGTTCTTTTCTTGCCTCGATATTATCATCATATGAATACCATCTACCGGTTGGATATAGAATTAGTGCAAAGTAGTGTTCTTGATAGTTTTTTTCTATTTTCTTGCCTTGATAAATAGCTCCATCTAATAACAGTTTCTACATAATGTTTAATGTTGTGAGTTACTACAGCCTCAGAAGTTAGAGCAGATACCAAAGATGGGAGTTAAATGAATACCATATTAACATTATATTGATAGTACGAAAAAGATTATAGTAACAGTACAGTAAAATAACCTAATTATTATAACAAATATAGCGAGCTAGTGCGGTAGCGTGTACCTGATCCTCCTTGAGAAAGAGAGTAATCTTTGTTCCCCTCCCAAGGCTCTCCCCTGAGGTATCCCTGGTGACCGTAAACGAACCCCCGGCCTGTGACTCCCAGACGTATTGCTCGTCATCGTTGTGTTTGGTGGTCACTACGACCCTGTCGGCCACAAGATACGCAGAGTAGAACCCCACACCAAACTGGCCAATCATGCTGACATCGGCCCCCGCGGCGAGGGCCTCCATGAACTCCTTGGTGCCGGAACGAGCGATGGTGCCGAGGTTGTTGACGAGATCGGACTTTGTCATCCCGATGCCGCTGTCGATGATGGACAAGGTGTTGGTGGCCTTGTCCGGGACGATGTGGATGAATAGCTCCGGCTGGGCGTCGAGCTTGCTCTTGTCCGTGAGGCTCTCGAACCGGATCTTGTCCAACGCCTGTTATGGGGCACCAGATCGGTAATAAAAACGGAGAAGGGAACCAAAAAAATGGATATTTTCCCCCTTAAAATCGACATCAAAGGGAGGGACTCACATCGGAGGAGTTGCTGATGAGCTCGCGGAGGAAGATTTCTTTGTTGGAGTAGAAAGTATTGATGATGAGGCTGAGGAGCTGGTTGATCTCGGCCTGGAAAGCGAAGGTCTCCGACTCGGCCGCCATGGCTGGGCTGTGAAGAGAGCTCGAACTCGATCGAGAGGAAGCCGAGATCCGAGAAAAATTGGGGGCACGACAATGAGGTTGCGAGGAGCGGGGACACCTTATAAAGAAAAGGGAACCCAGTTTCTAGATCCTTCCATTGATCCGGAGAACCGGTTCCGGTGACGGTGCGCGAACTCATCAAGAGGCGGGTTTGATGATATCGTCAACGTCTACAATAACGCCAATCTTAAAGCCAGGTTCTAGATCCTTCCACGGATCCGGGGAACTGGCTCCGATAATAGGACGCCACCTCGTCAAGATTCGGAAATAAAGCCAGTTTCTGGATCCTACCGTGGATCCGAGAACCGGCTCCGACAACGGTTGGCGACCTCATCAAGGTTCCGCTTCAACATTTTCGACATTAATCCGACGTCTATCATAGCGCAAACCCTAAAGCGAGTTTCTAGATCCTTCCAAGGATCCTGACAACCGGCTCCAATGGCGGCTCGAGACCCGTCAAGATTCAGGTTCGTTGACGCGCCATCAAGCTGACGTCAATCACACCGCAAATCCTAAAGAATTGAATTTTGCCCCGCCTTCCTTCCGACCGTCGATTAGATGTATAATATATTCTCAAATCAAGCATATTATATATATAATATTTTTTAAAAATTAATTTTTTCTCATAAAACATATCTTTTTATTTTATTCCCATAGATCCTTCCTTATTTTCTAAAGGATAAAATTATCCTTAACCCCATAGTAGTTGTCTTCTGTCTTATAACCATCCCGGTATAAATATAACGAAGAAAAAGACCAATCACGATAAGACAAAAGTTAAAGGTAAAACGATAAAAATAATTAAGGAATGTTATGTGAAAGTAAAATAAAAAATAATACTCTACCAAAAATAATAAAAAAATAAGATTGATAATCTTTTTGGCATACGGCGAAATTTTCTTACATTAACTTTCTAAAATTTCCACACGTGCTAATTATTTTGTTAACTGCTTCTCTGGTCTTCTTCTGTACATATTAGATCTTTCGACAGAATTCTCTAACTATGACAATCGTGAAGGAAAAGTTTTAATGCATAAACAAGAATCAGATCTTTCGACAGAATTCTCTATCTATGACAATCCTAAAGGAAAATCTTTAATGCATAAACAAGACTCATTTTGTTATAAACAATCCCATAGACAGCTTGAGGATTCGAGACTTTCTATAACTAATAAGAATTATTAACCAAAGCATTTTTCATATGCAGAATTGACGAATCTGGGAACAAAATACTGATCAAACAATTACATTTTACCTGTGGCTTCTTCACGTTGAAGGAACTTCCGATGTATACTATCCCAACGATATCCTCGCAACTGAACACAAGAAGCAGTCATAGAGTTGATCAATGCAGCGCACATATGTGGTGATGCGGAATCATATGCCTCCAATAAACAAAAGAGGATTGAGGGCCAAATTATCAGGGTTGTCTCAAACATAATCTCATCTTTAATCCATAAGGAAGCATAAATGAGTTACTAATTTTACCAATTCCCAGCAGCACCAACACATATTGGACAATCATGCACAGAGATATGAACCCCAATCGAATACAATGAACCTTGCTGTGAGATTAAATGTGCTAAAACCCGTGTGAAAACCTTGCCACCAGATGTTTTTGCAATTTAACAGAAGCACAAAGAATGAATTAGACCAAGGAAATAACTGCAGCCACTCCATCAAAGTATTTAATTCATAGAGAGAGAGAGAGAGAGAGAGAGAGAGAGAGAGAGAGAGAGAGAGAGAGAGATATATATATATATATATATATATATATATATATATATATATATATATATATATATATATATATATATATGTATAATATTGGATGAAGTAATCAAATCTCTAACATCTGGTTAGCAGGCATTTAAGCACAGAGGAATCAACAAGGAGACTAAATTGCTAAGCGTGAGTTGTAGAGCATACAACAGTAGCGTAGTATGCCAAGTTTTGTCAGCTTCATGAACAGCAATTTGCATTAGTGCCTGTTCAACAGAATAAAAGAACAGAAATTAGTTGAGGACATGAAATCAAAGGAATACTTGTACATGGTATTATATAATGCTACCGCAAAGAGAGAACCTGCTAAAAATATCAACTATCCTGGCACCTGGATGCATAGGCCCAGCTGTTATGAAATAACATGAATATTCATGGGCTAAATAATTTAAAAAGATCCCAGTAAACAGAACTTGGATCCTCGCCATTACAAAATGTTATAAATCAGGAGATCTGCACATGAATGGACATTTAGTGAAATTTGCACTTGGAACATGATCAATCTTATAAGCAGTGTGCATGTGGCCTGGAATTCACATCAAAAGACCTCAGATACAAACCAGTACAAAACAGCCTAATAAGAGAATGTGGGACACTACTTGGAACAAAGACACAAATAGATCAACTGATACAAATTTCATATAAAGTTAAGATCCATTTTAGCCCATGAGATTCTAGTCATGAACCTCTTAAGCCCTTATAATTTACTCATATCTAAATAACCATTACATTTTCAAAAACATAGCATATAAGCCCCTCCTGTCAAATCTGAGTTAACAAACATTAGAGTCTACTTATGTGACATGCTGACTCACAATAAACCATTAATATAATGACACGTGTAATTTAAGTTTAAAGAAAAAATACTGAGACATCCATCAATGACGAGAGGTGTCGTCATAGAAGCGACTACTAGCAACAGCATCAAGCCGTTGTTGCCTGGCAGAGCGTCATACGCACACAACCTCTCCCGCGCTGACAACAAGCTAAAGAGCTTTTGATCCTATCTCAGGTGGATGTGCATCGACCAATCCGACGCTAGGCACGCAGTGATCTCCTGGTCTCTCTTCTTCCTCCTAGGCATCTTTATCCCCACCGCCTCCCACTTCATCCTCTTCTGCGCTCCCACCCACTGCGCCTATTATGTGATGGTCCAACTCTCCCTCACCTCCGCCTCCCACTTCATCCTCTTCTGCGCTCCCACCCACTGCGCCTATTATGTGGTGGTCCAACTTTCCTTCACCTCCGCCTCCGGCCTCTCCTACCTTTGTTTTTTTGCCTTCATCTGCCGCTATAGCCTCCGTCGCTTCCTCTTCCTCGACAAGCTAGTCGGGGAGAGCGAGAAGGTACAGGAGGGCTACATGAACCAATTAAACCGCTCCTTTCGCCTACTCTCCGTCTTTGTGATGTCATGCTTTGTGGGGGAGGTGACTTACAAGGTATGGTGTTACTCGTCGGGATCGAAGCAGGTGTCGTTCACAGTGGTGGGCAGCACCGTGGTGGCATACGCCCTAGAGCTGGCGAGCTGAATCTACCGGAAGTGGAGGTGAGGGAGAGCTGGACCACCACGTCGTAGGCGTAACGAGTGGGGGCGTAAGAGATGACGAAGTGAGAGGCAATGGGGACGAAGACGCCCAAGAGGAGAAAGAGGGACCAGGAGACCACTCACTACGTGCCTAGTAACGAACTGGTCGATGCACATCCACCTGAGACAGGACCGGAAGCTCCTGAGCTTGTCGTCAATGCGGGAGAGGCTCCGTGCATACGACGCCCTACTAGGCAAAAGCGGCTCGATGCTGCTGCTAGTGGTCGCTTCCACAACGACGCCTCCTCCAACCATTGATGGAGGTCTTAGTTTTTTTTCTTTAAACTTAAATTACACGTGTCATTATATTAATAATTTATTATGAGTCAACATGTTACATAAGCAGACTCTAACGTTTATTAACTCAGACTTGACATGAGGAGCTTATATACTATGTTTTTAAAAATGTATGGGACTATAAACATTACACGTGTCATTATATTAATGATTTATTATGAGTCAGCATGTCACGTAAGCAAACTCTTAATTTCTGTTAACTCAGACTTGACGGGAAATGCTTATATGTTACGTTTTTAAAAATATATGGATTATTTTAAACACAAGTAAATCATAAAGGCTTAAGAGGTTAATGACCAAAATCATAGGGATTAAAATGAATCTTAACTCTTTCATATATCCAATGGACAATAGTGCTTGGGCTTACAATACACCACTACAAAAGGATTCCAATAAAGTTTTCCACTACAATGGATAGTAGTTGCTTGGACCATAATCAAGTTTTCACTTGCTATCGTAGCTCTCTATGACATTTAAATAAATAAACAACAGATTCCACCTTGCCTACATGCTCCATTACCAACTTATGGTAGATCAACATAAAGATACATAACAAAAGGATTAAACGATATTACTTCATGTGATAGGCAGATATTCGACTTTCCCTCGTAATGCTGCTTCTCCACTAGAATTCTGTAACCATACAAATGTTTGACTCCAAACAAAATCCTCAAACTAAAATGGTTCTTAGTTGAAAACAAGTTTTGCTTCTTTTATCCCTTGCAGGAAGAGAAACAAATATCTTAATTTTGCAGTTTTGAGGTCCTCAAATACAGCCGTTTATGTTTTTACTTTTGTGGCAGTACAAGACTACACCTTACTTCATCAATAATTATGGCTAAGATCCCTGTTTAGCCTTCCTCATGACATCTTCATCCTAGATCTTTTTCTTTCCTCCTCAAAATTATTATAAAAAAGGTCAAGTACATGGACCAAAGTCAAAAAAATACAACTGCAAAACTACATAGCTTTGAAATGCTTGAGTTGGCGCCAAATTAATGAAACTCATAGCCACATATTTCATGCTTAGTCATGATGCAACATCTCTTCAATGGTAAAATTTAACAATACCACACAAATAAAATGATATTCAAACTTTAACTGGTCCCCTAGTCTGGTTGCTAATCAGTAATGACCAAAAAAAAATCTGCAGTGCATAACTAGAAAACAAGCAAGAGCCTTGTGTTTCAACTGATATTGCAAGTTGTCATAACTCATATAAGAAAAAGAAAACACACTAAAAGGACTCACCTAATCTCAGAATCTCGTGGATGCAAAACAGTTGCAAATGAAAATGAGACAGTATCATCAAAAAGATTGCAAGTGATACTAGCTGGTGGTCAACCTAAATTAGCTTTTTGATTCATCGTGTATCCATCTCTATCTGCAGTTGATTGGGTGCTGCCTTCATTGGCTAATCTAGCATTACAACCATCTATGTTCTCAGGTAGATTCTTTTCACCAAGGGCTTCTTCAGGCTTGGTCATGGCAAGTTTGGCATCTTTGTCCAGTTCATTTGCAGGAGACTTGCCATCACTTGGCAATTTCATTTGGTCAAAATTATGTGCAAATGGCACTTTAGACAAATGATTATTTTCAACATCCATATCATGTGAATGCTCACAGAAATTTTCTGATGCTGTCCTAGGCTGCAAAACAGACTCAGCAGTTGGTTTAGTGCCAGCCAAGGATAATCTATTATTCCCTATGTTGTTAGTATCCTCACAGTGAGTACCAGGAGTACATATGGGCCCACTTATTTCCTTTAAATTATTACATCCAATCAGATTGCATGTTTCATTTGCTCTTTTATCACCAACAGTGGTCAAAGTAACTTGTACTTCTGGACTGGTTGTCCTTGAATCTGGAACTGGATCATGATGTTTTCCCTCCTCATTCAAAGAATAGGCATGTTGAGAGACACCAGAAATGCCACTGGGAATTGCTTTTTGTTGATTAACCTTGTCCAAATTTTCTGTTTTCTTAGAAGAAGCATGAATGCTTGCATTTGAAGTAGCCTTTGGTGCACCAATAGGAGCTCTCGTAACCCGACCATATTTAGGTGGCAAGGGCTTTCCATTACTTGATGCTAAGCATCTGGGGCAATGCCATTCTGCTTTAGGAATGCCTTTATTACCATAAGATTGAAGACATTTCAAGTGGTTTCCTTTCTCACAAGCATCACAGACAAGCAAACTTTCAATATCGGTGATAGCATTCTTGCATACTTGGCAATTGAGAGTAGAATTCATGTACTCAGTTGATGGGGGAGTCCAACTTGGATGATCAGAAATATTTGCTTGTAGTATCCTCTGAATGTTTTTAGCAATGTCGTTATGATTGGTAAAAAGACCGGGTGTATGAACAACTGTCAAGCCTTGAGAAGGTTGATGTACTATTTGTAGGGTTCCTTGTCCAGCTTGCATCATAGAAGGTTTTGTTTCATGATTTATCATCGTCTGATGGGAAGTTTTGACAGTATTCACACCAAGAGCACCCTCAGTCTTAACAGAAATATGATCTGACAATTTGTTTGCTTGGCCAAACTTTGCCACAGCAGCAGACGTTGATTGCACAGAGGAGATTGTTGGGATTTTCTGAGACACATTTTCAGCTACAAAGAGGACAATCCATCGTTAAGCATATATGAAGTGAATACATACGTTAAGAAAAACATCTTCAGCACAATTAGGCAAGAAAAAAAAAGGAAGGGCAAAGGGATACCCAATTTGTTATGCATACTAAGAGATGTAGATTAAAACACTATCTTCAGCACAACTAGAAAAGAGGAAAAAAAAGGAATGGCAACCAAACACCCAATCTTTAGTCATGGAGCCCAAGATATGCATCAAAACACAGTTTCCCAATCTCTAGAATTCAATTAGTCTTCGCCTGATATGAGTGATTAAGTAAGTGAACCCTCCACCTCCATGACTCGTCAAGTAAATGGTGATTTAATCAGAGGTAGTTTCTGTTTCTAAACTCCAGAAGTAGAATTTTTCCTTCAAATTCAAATTTTCAGTCAGAAAAACACAAATGGAATTCAAAAGTGTTTCTTTTGTTACTAAGTATCTAGTTTTAACATTTAAAAAGACCAAATAGAAAACAATAATTGCACTCTTAAAGTTGTTATATCTCAGTCATAAGCAAATTAACAACCAGCAATCAGACCAACAGACATAAAATGAGGGTGATCAGAGTTTACGATTAACCTTGATCTTGTGTCAGATAAGATGAACCATTCATTCTTGCATTTAATCCAATATGTGCTGAAGGCGTACCCCTCTCAAGTGAGCCGGATAATTTGTTTACAGAACTCACACCAGCCTGAACATCATTTAAATGTGGCTGCTTCAAAGAAGGGGCAGCAGAAGTTAGCAACGGAGCACGCGTTATCAGTGAAGCACTTTGTGAACCTCCAGCAGAGGTTCCCATTGGACTTCTGTCATGCATAAACCTAGAAGCATCTTGAGCCAAGGCTCTATGGATATCAGATTTTGCACCAAAGCTTACAGGAAGATGTTGAGGTGAACAAACTGATGACTGCATGTGAGCCTTGGACTCTTCAATCTGTAACTTGCGCCAGAAGAATAGTTCATCAGATATATTATTGATCACCAAAGCTTTGTAAGTATGTAAGCATACTAAGCACCAAAAAATGACAAGAATGTTGAAGCACATAAAAGTCAATGTCACAATTCACATGCAAACAAACACCTGCCAAGAAACCTGAAAAGAAATTTAACAAAAGATGTTTTTGCTTTTAAAGAAAAGAGGAACAAATGCCATACAACAACAAGTTGCCTATAGTAACAACTAACTGACCAAGTTCAACATCAAACGAAACCAGTTACTTAAGAAGTCTCACAGTAGCTATCCTATGAAATCATTAACTAGATTCCAATGGTTTACATCATCATTTTGTAGTTTCAGAACAATCATCATAAAATATGTCTTGCACCACAAGCTTTCACTGATTCCACAGAAAGGAAAGCTATATGTTTTTCAATAAGTTTTGAAAAACTGTAGTATCATTTATTATTATTGAGAAACTTAACACCCTAGGAAGCACCTAAAGAGAGATTAAAAATTTCAAAAGAGGAACAAAACATCAGCTTTTTCAAATCAAATTAACTGAGTATTATAGTCAAACTAACACCACCGATTTGTCATAGAAGAAACCTGAAGTAATTGAATGAAGGGAAGCAGTTTGTAAAACATGGTAAGAGCAGATAGTCCAATTTAACAAAAAATCAAGGGAAAACATATTCCAATATTTTGACCTGCTCTATTAGGCAGAAAATGTTAAAACAAGGTGCAGCCACATTTGGACAATCAGTGACACATACAGACAAGAATTTAATGATTTCATGATGTCCTTCAATTATCAACTCTGATGTTCCAGCAACTAGCAAATCATTTTTTTCAGCTTCACTCCCAAAAGAATTAAAACCATTGGAAGTACCGGTCTTTGATTCTGCAATTTAATATTGACTGCGTTGAGGAGTCAAGCAAGAAACTTGAAATAAGTATCAGACACTTTCTGGACTTCTAATCCTTCCCGAAGGCGTAACTTACAGCACCATAAAAACCACTTCTTAGCTGAGTGGGAAGCAGCCCATACATAAATCAACTCTCTTAAATACTACGTATGTATCACGTATCTGGAGCAATTACCTCGTCGAAATGCAAAGTCCCTCAAGAGGAGAAGAATCGCAACAATCGACCATGTTTTGTTCACCATCAAGTAAGACACCTACTGTTGCAACAACAAAGGATCTTATGGGGCACGCGGACGGACCTTTTTCTTGGTGAGCAGCAACTTGTCGGCAATCGACATCTTGGGCGGCCGGAACCCCATGACGGGATCCTTGGACCTATTCAGTCCGAGATCCTCCACCACGACCCTGACCGCCTCCCCGGAGAAGAGCTCCTTGGGCTTGACACCCTCACACATCGCCACGAGCCGCTCCCTCGCCTCCGCGACCAGGGCCTTCTCCGCCGCCGTGGGCTGCCTGCCGCCCCGCATCTGGCCCATCGCCGAAAGGACCATCACGATCTCCGCCACCCGCTTCAGATCCCCGCCGTCCCTCGCCCTCTTCTTGATCGCCGGAGGCTCTGCGGCGGAGGCCTTCGCGTGGCCCTCGTCTCCCATCTGCAAGGGGGAAAGAGATCAGGAGCCATGAGAGAAGGGAGAGCGAAGAAACCCTAACGGGAGGGGAGAGGAGGGGGAGAGAGCGCGATGGGGAGAACAAAAGGGAGGGAGGGACGAGGTGATCGAGTCGAGTTTAAATACTGAATTGGGCGGGAGAGGGAGAGCGCGAGGGCGTTCGATCGAGTGTTAGACGAGATGGTGGTGGGAATTGGGGGAGATTTGGGAAGGAGAGAGAAGCGATGCGGAAAAGGGATTCGGAAAAGGGTTTATTTTATGGCCCTCTTATATTGAACCGGCACGGAAATTAATCGGCGGAGCTGATTCGACCGCGTATCGAACCGGTTCGACCGCTGAACCGGACAGTTCAAATATTGGAACTTTTTCCCATAGATTACATTTTAGAGTTATTCTTTCTTTCTGAATAATTAAGTATAAGTTTGATGGATAATAAAAAATATATTTAATTATATATATAAATACTGTAATTAGAAGAGATAAAATAATTAATAATAATGGTATGAGAGAGATAGAGACTTCATGAGCTTATTTTTGACAAATGACAAAAGATGCATGCAGTTAAGCCTAAATATTTGAGACTTCATGAGCTTATTTTTATCCAATATGTGTTGGAATCATTAGCTCTTTTAAACTAATTCAAATCTAAACATACACATATCTCATCCCTACGGGCAAACAATCCCCTAAGTTATGACATTTGTATCAATGTTCAAATATGTCAATCATTCCATGTCAACATGTGTCTTTAGTTCTATTATCATTTGTTCTGACTTAATCAAATATATAATTAACTCATCAATATAGTAGACTCTTAGTCTTTATTTCATTTTAGTTACATAGATTGTGCCTTGCGTGATAAAAAAGTTTTTCACATGACTTTTTTTAATAAGAATATATTTCTATTATATTAAATAATATAAATGATGTTCATACGTAAACTCAAACTTGAGGCCTATTACTTTATGTAATAATATACTAATCAATTCGGATAGCGGGACTTCTCACACTTTTTTTTATTTTACTATATTAATCGGACGAAACATGAGTTCATGGATAACTCTTTTTTAAGGGAAAAATAAAGATGTGAAAAATATGAAAAGAGTAGCAAGTGACTAGGGGAACAAAAATATCTTAATTACCACTGAATCAATTTTCTTGGTTTCTTTAAAATATTGTATGTAACTTAAATTTAGGTATTTTGAAAAAATTAATATATCAATTAATATTAATTAGTATCAAAATCAATATAGTATTAGTATTAGAGCATGTTGACGAGGCCATTAAACCAAAGATTTTAAAACTCCGTATTCTCACTCGATTTAATAATTATATTGACTTAAAATGATTTAATAATTATATTATTATTATTATTATTATTATTATTGATTTAAACTTAAGTATTTTGGATCAGTGATTTGGATTGAATTAGAAAGATTCGATAGCTATATTATTGTTAACTTAGACTTAAGTATTTCAGAGGAATGATTTAAATCGAATAAAATTAAAAAATTAGTTATCTCATTTGTACAGACAGATGATGACATATATTTTGTAAAATGTGGCTCGAACGATGCAATCTCGATTATTAGTGCATTGTCAGTAATATTTATGTGATTGTGTGACACCCTGTTTTATAGAATGGTTACCTAAATTGGATCAGTAACTCGGACCTATCAAGCTAATGAGAATAGAGTTAATACTGGCAATGCGACAAGGAAAAACCATAAATGAAATAACCTAATAAAGAATCTTACGAGGCAAGATATTTTCCTTGCATATATAAAAAATCCACTTATTATTATTATTTATTATTCATGAAAAAGATGAACAAATTGTCAAAGAATAACTACATCAAAAGCAGATGCCTACAAAAGCATTTCAAAACTGAAACTTTGTTCTCTTTGCCACCCCATCAAAGGCTGCTAGGAGAAAGAAAGCAAAGCCATATCAGAGTGACAATACTCCTCCCATTTAGCAACCTGCTATTTGGTAGGGTGAGACCGCGACGACACGCTGTCAACCAATTCTCCAGATGCGCCCTTTTCTTCGACACCGTGTTCAAGTTATATCACTCTCCGATGGTGATGTCTGAGGCAGCATCATCGACGGCCAGATTTGACATGCTCTCCGCAACACTACTTCTGTCTTCTCCATTCTGTGATGCAGCATCATCAGCTGATACCTCTGAAGCTTCAGCTACAGACTCGGCCTGCTCAGAGCTTCCTGCGGGTTGCTGCAGACTCCAGTACATGATGCTGGCAGTGAGAGTCAGGATCATCTTCTGGTTTACCTGTCATAAAGCGAACCATGCATTACTAAGAATCTAATTAAGAAATAATTTATACATCTTGGTTTGTTGCCGAGTCATTCATACGCCATGCACTTGCCAATGAATTGCCAGCAGTATTATGTTCATCTCCATGTCTGATATCAGGTATTTAATCAAGAAAGCCAAAACAGGTACTCAAGTCAAGAAGGTTACATCGAAAAGATAATGTTCGGCACAAAAATTATGTTATTTAGAATATGCATGTCCATTATTCCAAATCAGAGAGGCAGGACTTGCAGATTAATCAACAATTTGTTTAGTCTTCTAGGTTTGTGGAAGCAAAAGAAAAAGATCTTAAATATGCTACTCTTACCTCCATGATGTCCTCAGGCAACAAAAAGACAGAACATCCGAGCTTTCTTGCTACACTGATAATATATGTAGCATTCATCTTTTTTTCCTCATCTGCATTTGAAGGATGTGATAATGAAGGGCCAATTTTGTGTGGAATAATATATGTGATAATAAAATAAAATTTCTGAATTCCACTCTCCCTAGACATGCATAAGCTGTCCTTTTTACCCTCATAATCCAAAGACAAGCATATCAATTTAATTTTGCAAAAATCATATGAGCCTCAATGATAAATTTGTTGACGCTTAATGCTGAAAAAATGTTAAATTTCTTTACAGGCTGATCAGCATACCAGTTTCACCCTTTGTAACGAGCTTCCAGCTTACCACCCTTGGCTGCACAGCACTAAGAAGTTGAAGAAAAAAAATTCCGCTTGACAAGTTTTTATCCTGAAAAAAAATGAAATGAATAAAAATAAGAATTTGTATACATAAGAAGCACAAAATTTACCGGAGATAGATCAAAAATACTTTGAAACTCTCAATTTGAGAACTTCTGCCTGAGTCCTTGACTTTATTGTTGGCCCAGTTGAGGATATCAGAATCTGATATCTCTTTTCCTTGCGAATGAAATCTCAAGTTCTTTAGGAGTTGAAGAATATTGAATCTCATTAATTGCCACAGATAAGCTGAAATGAAGCACAATGAAAGGGTTTTATTGCATATTTGTGTTTGTTGTTTTGATTGTAGGAAAAAGAAAATACAAGCGCACCTGACCAAATTAAAAAAAAACGATTGACAACAAATCGAGAAAGTCACATGTAAGAAAGGCATCCCATTTTACAGCCAAGAAGATCAGGATTTTTTTAACTGACTATTATGCATATTAGACATGATATCATGGCAAATGGAGAAGATTCATTTTTAAATATTTACTAGATAAACACCCTGGGAAAGATATCCTTAAATAGCTAGTCACCGATAACTTGCAGTTGTCTAATATGTAAACGACAAAAACATATGATATAATAAAGAAACATAAACATGATATAATAAAGAAGCAAATTGAGTGCATATATGATATAATAAAGTAACAAAACATGTAACTCTATGCTTTCCCTAACCATTTCATATCAGCACCCTCTCCATACGATTCTTGAACTTGACTTCAAGCGCATTAACAACAGGTTTCAAAATGAGACTTTCTACTTCTCAAACATTAACCGAGCAGTAGGCAACAAAACAAACTGCAGCAAAAAGACAAGCAAAAAAAAGGATATCTACCATTGCTTGATGATAGAAATTGAAGCAAGTTATTGATTGTGATACATTGCTGGTCACCAATTTGCTCTGAATTTGATTCTTGATTGTGATAAAATAATTTGTGTAAGTTGAAATGAATGTAAAAGCAAAGCCCAACTGAATTAACTAATCAAGGATAACATATCCAAATATATTAATGATGAAAAGAATAATATGACTGAAATCCTAAATATAATTATTATTGATAAAAAATACCGCTATATGAAAGATGGAAAAGTTTTACCTTTTGTTCTCTCATGTGAGTGGATGGCAAGCTCACTTGATTAACTTGCAAGGCAGCTATTTACAAACTTGGATGGCAAAATAGTACCGGACTCAAAAGTTTAAAATACAATACACAGTGGAGAACTGTTGTGGCCCTTTTGTCTCCTTAAAATATAAAGGACCATAAATTAATTGAATCTTACAAAACGGCATAGCATGTATCATATAGTATTTATTCATTGATCAATTGCCTTACATTACAATTCCATTCTGAGTTTGACTATGCACCCTACACATGCATGTCAAATGGAACACTAGGAAGGTTATCTCCAACGAGTGATAGATTTACTTATTTGTGATGTATTCAACTAGATTAAGAGTTTGTTACTAGTGTGCAACATGTAATTGTGCTTTAAGATATCTATAGAAAGTTCAGCATTTCCTATGCTTCTAGACAACTTTTGATTCAGAGAAAATCTCAAATCGTTGCATTGAAGGTTGCATGAGCTTAAATTCACAGTAGTTCAGGTTTGGTACCACTCCTCATGCCAAAATTACCACGGTTAGGAATAGGGTTCTTAGAAGATTGTCTGAAATCATGTTACAAAAAAACTTGGTCAAATAACCAATGGACCTTCTCAATTTTCGGTTGCGCTCTATAACACTCTCTGTAGAGGTTGAAAAAGATATTGACAATATAAACAAAGATATTGAAAATTCTGTAAGTTCACAAAATGAAAGAAACAGTGTTGAAGACTTAAGGTAAAAGTATCTCACCAACAATTAGCTTTTTGTTTCCTTGCACAATGTCATTGCCAGCAACATTCACTAGTGAAAAATTCAACTGCTTCCCGACCTCTATGACTTGGTTGCAGTTTTCAACTTTCCTGAAAGGCATCTTAATAGGAGGTTTTGTAGCCTGCTTCCAGTTAACTGATCCAGGAGACACTTTGTCGAGTACTTCCAAAAGAACCCATCTGCAAATGTCTTTATATTATTTTGGGAGCTTGGTGAACGAGCCATAAGTTAGTTCAGAGAAGTTCTTACCCATTCCTGACATCCTCAAACAAATTATTAACATATGTAACAATTCCAAGACTATTGATCCATAATCGAAAAGCTCTTTCTTCCCTAGAATCTTGGATGTCATCAGGCATCATTTGTGATAAGGTTAAATTTTCATTGTCAGCAGATAGACCGTTCCTGCATAAAATACATAGTTTGCATATAGCTCTACCTGTATCCCAAAAAGCAGCATAGTTTAATTGAAAAGCAGGTGCAAAATCTAACCTGTGCTGGAATATCTGTGCGACAAATGCAAGGTTCAAATTTGGAGAGCCTTCAACAATGTCTTTTGGATTCAAGAATCTTTTGCAGTCCAGCTTCTCAGCTTGTTCAATTACTCTTTTTGCTCTTTCACCAGGATCTTTAATTTCCAAAGTTGCTGAGCTGGAATGCTCAGGAGCAAGGGCATTAAGAAGGTAAGCATAGGCCTCACCATCCTGTCAATTAGGAGTTTAACAAGAATTAGGGAAAATAATATCTATGATAATTGCAAAAACCATTGAAGAACAATAATTTGAAGAAAGAAATCACATGTAAATGTAACAAAGTGAATTATGATGATCAAGAGAAAACCTATTATTTATGAAATAAAAGGACCAACCAAATAATTTCCAGGGTGTCCAATTAATTGAGGCAACAGAAATCCTTTTTAACCAAACGAAATAGTTACTTGCAGACAAAGAAATGAATTCTATCAGTGAAAGGCCACTGAAGCAATAGGTTCAATTTCTCTGTTATACACTTCACCAAGACCCCTAAAACCTAACTCATCAATCATATTATCAGACAACTGAAGGTTCTGTTTTGACCAAAAAAATATAGTAGAAACTCCAATTAGTCATTCTTAGATAGGATGCAGCTCACAAAATAGGAGTAAGGAATCATGGAGAACATTCTAATATTACATTTCACATAAAGGTGCAGTTCGATCATCAAAATTATCAGATTAAAAAAGCAGCAGTCATCCTTTCACTTGTCCTGTTTAAATTTATAAGACAACTAATTTAAATAGCAACATGAGCATCTTTTCTGCAAGAAAAATATATCTCTATAAAAAAAATCCAGAAGTATTCTGTTTCGTTTGGTGGTTATTTGAGACATCAACAGCATAGCCGCACTACAATTTACAGGTATGCTACTGTCTAGCCAATGGATTAGAAATAGTTTAATGGTCCATATATTCTTTTCAGAGGTTAAATTGGGAGAGTTCTCACAAACCAACTTCTCAATTACATAACCTTTCTATCAATGTTTTTCAAAAAAACCTACCATTTTGGTTGGGGCGGTCCAGATTGAAATTTTAATCATTGCTTTCTACAAGGATTGACCTGAGAAGCTGACTCTTATCCAATTCCCATCTTGTTTCTAGATCACTTCCTAAATCAGAATTTAATCACCACAAACTTCCACCTTGTCCTTACATAGACTGCCACATTCCATCAGTTGTCTTCTCTGAATCTCCCCCATCAAACTGTTCTGACCATTTTCAAGCCCCTCTGGAATATAGGAATGGCACCAGCAAGATTCTCTTATGCCACACCTCATCCGACCCCCATGCTTATTAACAAGAAGATAGAAACCAGCACCCGAACTGGGGGTCAATGGTTGAACACCTCAGCTAAACAAAATGATTGATGAGCCACCTGTAACTCTCCATTTTTCCTCATGCAAAATAACTACCACTTCAATCAGTTTACTGAAATAATATTTAGCTAGTATCTTTCAACATCACATTATATATCAACTATTGATAAGAATTTGATGGCTACTAGGTACTTTTGGGTCAAACAATGTGAGATGTTTTGTGCACTACAGTAATATGTGATGATCATTTATTGGAGACCTCAAAGGAATTCAAATGTCTGATAGATGAAATCCATAACTAAGAAGAATGCTTTTAGAATATTGCACATAATACGTTGCACATATCTATAACTAAGAAGAATGCTTCAAGTATATTGCACATGGTACGTTGCACATATCTGTAAATTGTTTGTTCAAAGGCCTCCATGAATCACCTTGCTACATCAAAATCATCTCCCAACTCAAAAGAAAAAATTTAATAATAAATAATTGTGCATATAATGTGTTGTGCAGCTTTAAGTCATTGCTAGTAACTCTGATAGGTGCAAAAGAACGATTGGGAAGTTAGAACATTCTTTAATACATGTCGACACGTACCTTGAGATCCGAAGAAAAATTTGTTATAGGTTTTTTGTAGCCAGCTTTTTTGAGATGAAAATTCATCCACTTCAGTAACATTTTTTCTGGTGCTAGGCTCATTAGTTCCTCTACATCCTGTAAAAGTAGAACCAGCAAACATTAATCAGTTTATATAATTTGTTTCTGTTAAAAAACAATAAAACAATATAACTAAAGGCAATCTGTTACTTGACCTTGCTGTCATCTACCAACTCCATGAGTTGAGGTGTCTTCTTGAGGTTAAGATCTGCTAAAAGTTGTATCTGATACATGATAACCAGGTAAGTCCTGATTCTTCTGGAGTCTCAATGTATGGTCATGAATGCAAGCAAATTTCATTTTCGTTTTTTCTCTCTTCAGAATAAAACAGTTATCCTAACTCAACAAACCCAAGGCCTTAGCCATAAAATACTAATGATGAAAAGAGTCATATATTCTTATAGTACCACAGTGAACTACTTGGGCAACACAGACTATAAGTGGGTACCTTTATGATCTGAGATATCAACCCAAGCACCAAATGAGGCTGCATGAAAACAAAATTTCTTCAGTTCTCACTGTTATAACTGCACAACAGGTTACACATGTATATTAAGAAACAATTGACATAAACAAGAATTCAAATGATCATTCTGCAAAGGTAGCGACAGAAGAAAAATAGGATCCTATGATTATTCAGTTAATTTTTTCAAGATATTCAAGATACAATATTCATGAGCTCACATGCTAAGACATTCTTTAAGACATAAACAGTTAAAATGTGCTAGTTACACTGAGCACCACATGCAATAAGGCATTCACAACTAGTGGAAGAAGTGATGAATCAATTCATATTAATTATGGCACAGTACATGGATAAACTCAAAGGTAACATTCAATATGATTTTCATTCCACATATTAGCAAGACACACAAGAAGAGACATCATAAGCCTTGCCAATAAATAACTATGAAAATACAAGCAACAAATTTTTTGTTAAACATTAACAATACTACACAAATACAACAAAAGAAATCTTTATATCGAGTGTCAAAATAATCTACTTACCCTCGCTTCAACTAAGTCTTGTGTTCCAATATTGACTACAGTGCACCCAATAGCCTTTGCAGAGTTCAGGCAAAGAGTGTGATTCTCATTCCTCTCCCATGGATTGAGCACTTCTTTGGTATTTATTGCTCTCTCATCTATAGTCCCCGGAACCGCAACATTGATCAATTTACTGATATAAATTTTGTAAACAAAACGAAAGCCCATCAGAAAAGAAAGCTGTTGTTAGAAAAAGCAGAAAGCACAGGAAGATTTCTAACTAAACTCGATAAAAACTAGGGAACATTTACTTAACAAAACAACATCACCCTTCCTTATGTTTCTTCTTCTGTTAAGATAAATTCAAGAATTTAGATAATAAAATTATAAAAATAAAAAAAAACAAACATCTTTGACTGCCAATAGTCACTGTCCATTATTTCTCTGACAACTTACCATAGAAGAACTCCGTCTGTAATAAGATTGAACAGTTCATTGGTTGTTGGATCCAATGGCAGATATTTCTTCAAAAATGGGTCTTCTCCAAGATAGTTGTTGATGTGTACTACATAGGACTCCTTCTCTGATTCATTGATAGTGTGCAAGAGTGTGGTTGTAGTGGCCTTCAAGAATGACGATGAGTTCTTAGCACCGCCTAATTTGGTTGCTGCCTTTTCTTGAAGGTCCAAATACACCTGCACAATACATCAATTCCACCACATTGAGATCAGCTTCTAATCCTCAATAGACTAATGCAGCATTAACAGCTCAGAGTTACCCGAAGGAATGCTTCAAAGTCTAATTCATGGGTGGTATCAGGATAGGATTCGGCCAAGATGTCAGCAATCTCTTGTTCCGTGACCACCTGATTCAGACCCTTCAGCTTTCCCATCAATGGTGGTAAGTCTCCCACCATCACATGACTCGTCTCCCTTTTGGTTGACAGAAACTAAGTCAATACAAACATAGCATCAGAAACAGGATTACGAAACCAAGAAACACTTGGAAATATGAATTAAAGCTATAGAGGATCACTTACTTTAGACTTGAGGCCTCGAAGCTCCACCTGAGTAAATTGGCTTTGAAGCCATTGATCCGAGACGAGAACACCAACAAATCCAGACATCCTTTACCGATCAAGTTATCTACTTTCTGATCCTATATCCCTCTTTCTACAAAATCCAACCAAAACGCGAACGGAATCTCCGATCTTAGAACCGACTCGGACCCAAATCACGAAGACAATAATCACCAAATTCCAAACCTGAAAAATCGCACCTTTCCTCGCCCAAACCCAAAAAACACAACCAAACCAGGAAGAGTGAACTAGAAATCAACTTACAACCACCCTAAAAGGATCTAAATAGAAGGCGAACAAGAATGACGAAGAATTGGCTCTGTTATGGTCGAAGCTAGGAGACCAAACCAAGAAAGAACAAGACTTTCGAGCTATTCTTCCTACTTTCTTCCCAATCCCTGCTCACAATATCTTTTTTTTTATTGTCTTATGTTTCTTCACGATTCTCCGTCAAGTCCAGGTTACGCCGGTGTATGGAGGACGATGAAGTCGGGGGCGGGGGGTGGGGGGCGCCTATCCGATTCGATCCCTTCGCGCCTGCCGAATGCTTAAGAAAAGGATCAGAAATCCGAAGCCAGAGAGAGGAAGACGGAACAAACGCCCAACGAAATAAGGGGAGGGGCTTGTCGTTGTTTCTACGGACCCGCGAAGAACGAGGAGGCCGGCCATGACCAAGCTGTCCCCCTTTCGCCTTCATATATATATATATATATATATAGAAGGCGATTGATGAACAGGAGAAGGAAAGGGCAAGTCTCACGCGGCTTCTTCGTGCATATAGATAATTTCTTCTTTTTTTTTATTTGTCTTATCGTAAATCTCTAATTATTTGTTGGAAATCAAGACCTAATCCCTCTCAACACGTTTATACGTCAATCCTAACCACTCTTCACACGGAAAGAGATGTTATAATTTATAAAGTATATTATCATTTTCTAATAAGTTAAGCTTTTGACCTATAATAACCCAATTACCATTTTTCTAAAATAAATATCCTAAGATCGGAGAAAAAATTACAGAATATCTAGAAACAGATCATACGTTTAAAAAAAATTACAGAATATCTTAACTTTAAAAAATTCTGAAATGACACTCCTTTTTTTTTTATGAAGCCGGTCATTCTCCTTCACCCGCTCCTCTCCCGTAGTCCCTTTCTCGCGAATGATCGCTTGCAGCCTTTACACGAGGGCTCATCTCCCATAGTCCTCATCATTATCATTTACAGACTCAACCTCTTCCTTTACTCGTAGCTCTTATTATCAATTACAAACGAGGAATAAAGGAGCTGCATCATTGACTGTGAGCAAAAAAGGAGAGGGGTGGATCGTGCGCCCTTATCATCGATCATAGGAAAGGAAAAGGAGGAGGCCCTTCACCATCGCCTACAGGCCGCCCTCACACCGTCGATCATGAGCGAAGAAGTAGGGAGCAAGAGGTAACACTTTGTCATCACCTGTAAGCCACTCTTGCACTATCAATTACAATTGAGGAAGGAAGGAGAGAGAGCAACCCATACACCCTTGTCGTCAACTGGGAGGAGGGGTAAGTGTTGTTTTAATTTTTTTTGAAAGTAAGAACGATTTTATGAAGTTTTTTAAAAAGTAAAAAAAAAATTCAAAAATTCATCTTACATCTATTATAGTATTTCATTTTTTAAAATAGTAAATTGGATATAGTAAATATTTAGCCAGCAAGTACAACACAAGATTCAGCAAAAACTTGCCTAGCTATCTCTCTACATGCTCGAAGTAGTTCTCATGCTTACAGTGAACAAAGCAGTTATCTAGCATACAACCTTCAAAACAAAATATCTAGCCATCATCTCATGTATAAAAGGAAGATGAACACATGTATAGACTTCAGTTTGGTCATCAAATAACTGGACAGTATGATTTTCAATAGATAGAACAACAACACAAGAATTATATAACATCATTAGATAAATGAATGCAATAAATATGATCACATGTGGTGCAAAATGAAGTAAACTTGGAATACTAACTGTATGCAAGGAAGTGTTCAAGAATTATGAAAATAATCTAGTTATGATTCTTTTCCTTCTGATACGTACTTTGTTAGTCTATCGGTCTAACAGAAAGAAAGTTTAATTATAGTATAATTCTTTAAGAGATATCTTGATGAGAGACTCTTTAAATCATCTTTATAGATCATATGTTTTCACCCATAAAAAGATAGGACCTCGTAGAAATAAAATAAATCAATTAGTAAGATATTATATTTTTTCTTTTTTTTTTCTCTATTCTATTGTATATGATAAGAAGAGAGAAGAAAATGAGTCTAATTCTTTTTATAAATCAGTATAACTATGATTTTTAATCAGATGATGATGCACTTATATGATGATGCACTTATATATCAAACAAAAGCTTTCTGAATGATATCGAAATATATGTATTATATATTTGATCTATTACTATTTTATTTTAATTTTTAATATTAAATTTTTTTACATAATAATAAAATAATAATATTTTTTTTAATGCTTACACACTTAATATATTAGAACCCACTAGTTTCAGGATTGCAATATAATCTACATATGTGTCATTTCATAAATTATATATAATATAAATCATTGCAATGAATACTAAAAGACACCGCATAAGTCACCAACAAAACAGCAAGAACTTTATCTACAACCGATGAAGAAAAAGAACTACAGTTCACAGTGATTATGATAGTAACATAATATTTTATTCAAATCCTCATCCGATAAATTAACATCAAAATTAGTAATTTGATAATGATGTATGAGATCTATTTACCAAAGACTGAAATAAAAAAAAAATATTAGAGGCCCTTCACGGCAATCAAACTTCCAAGATATATTGAGTGCATAGCAATCCTTGGAGGTCCAAGGAGAGCACACAGGGAGCAACTAAATAATGTGATCTCCAATGCCAAAGAGATTATTAGCATTCTATCATAATGTACTTCTTCCCTTGGGAGTTAAAGTAACTTCAAGTGTTAATATAATTAATTTATATTATTCCTAATGAGTGTAACGTTTCCCAATCGACTCTGGAAGTGGACGAAAACTTGAACTAGACTATAAAAATCAGATGAATGTAGTCTTAGTAATCAAATTAATGAGTCAATTATATCATTCAAGAGGGAAATTACAATACTCTAGTGAGAGAAGACTTGAGTTGGTCCATAAAAGACATAAAATGCTATTATTAACATGAGATTAAGCCGCTATTTAATTTGTATTTGAGGAGCTGAGGCTTTCAGATTTTTTTTTTTCCCCTAATGAGATGTTAACGAAGCATTAGTTAATTTTTTTTCAAAAGAAAAACCAGAAAGAAAGAAAAAAATTAGGAAGATTCTGTGTGGATTTGTAGAGATTACTGATTCTTTCTTCGAAGCTCTTCCTTGGATCTCTTTGCATTGAGCTTCTTGAGGTTCTTCTTGTATTCTTCTGCACTCCGCGAGTAGGACAACATCATTATAAGACTGCATTGTGACAAGAGAAATAACTCAAGACCATATATTTTATGAAGCTGCAGGGTTTTTGCTACCATAAGAAGAGCCTTCAGGGACAAATGCATGCTATCCATTAAACTTTGTCAAAATGGATTTCTCCACGTTTTCCCAACAAAGATAGAAAGCCTTACTCATCTCCAACCAAATTATACATATTATATAATATATTATTATATGTATATATATTCCCTCTTGATTTTTGTTTTTGTTTGTTTTCTCAATTATAAAATGCCTACGCATCTTCGCCCTTTTTATATTTAATTAATATTAATGTAAGTCATTTTAAGTGTCTATCTTTGGTTGCCCGATATCTAGTTAATATTTATGTAATATCATCCTTTTCAATTGGTTTACGGAGCTTTAAATTTTAGAATTATCGATCACCTCCTCCAAAATTTTTATCATGAAAAAAATAATTTAATACATATTCTCTTGATTTTTTTGTCCGTTTTCTTAGGTCTAATATGCGTACACGTCTTCGCCAAAAGCAATGGTAGTGTTCAGTTGCTGACTCGCCTTCTTTGGTGTAAACGTACTTCTCGATCGTCAGCCTCTCAATTACCTCCGTTAATTGACGTTTTGATGTGGGACCCATCGAAGATCTGGAATCCTGGAGCGGGTAAAATTTAGTGTAATTAGAACAAGGGCTCGTAAAAGAGCTGCTATAGTGAGAAACCCCGACGGGAGACCACCACGACCACAATGTAACGGATTCCCAGTGGGTCCCATCAGAATCCTCCTCCTTCCTATTTGTCCGCCACAACCCTTCCGACGCCCTCCGGCGTACCCAACTCGTCCGTCCTCCTCTTCCTCCAACCCAACCCTAATAGGGAGAGGAAGAGGGAGAGAGAAAGAGAGAGTGCGATTGCCTCCCATGAATTTCCTCACAACACCGAAGCCAGAGCTCGGCCTCCGGCGCCTGGCGTCCGCTCCACTCTCGAAACTCCCCGGTCCCTCACCCAGGAGGTTCCCGGTTCGCCAGAGATTCCGCAACGGCACGAATCTATGGGCCCTCCCGAGGAAGAAATCGGAGCTCCGATGCGAAGCCGATGGATCCGACAGGACCTCCAACGGAGTACTCGAGAAGGCCGCCTCCGGTTTCGCTGCCGCGGCGGCGGCAGCGGCCGTGATGGCCGTCTGTGGCTGCGACGCACCCGCCCTCGCCGAGTCTCTTACCGTTGCCTTCCCTGTTTCTCGAGCACGCGAGGCTAGTGTTTATATCCAACTGAATGCCTATCTAATGCTTCGACTGGACACAAGTTTAGAGGAACCATCATGATATGTTGTAGCACGAGTAATTACATGCAAAACAGTTTTCTTTCACATAATTGCATGCAAGATGGTATTTTTTGGATCCCTGAATTATTGGTAGCAGTTTTGGTGGGTGAATTGCCAGTTTCGAGGAAGAATTGACATGTTTTTGCGCTTCATTACGTGCAAAATGATCTCAGCATTTCTCTTGCCAGCATGCATTTGCTCTGTTTTCCGCTTAGTGGGTCTGTGTCTTCTCCTTCAGGTGAACACGGTTCAGAGAACTCTTGTTGAGGCTTGGGGATTGATTCGGGAGACCTTCATCGATCCTACTTTTAACCACCAAGGTGACTTTCATGTTGGAATCTCTTTCATGTCAATTTAGTTGTTCCGTGTTGGGATTTTTTGTCTGGTTGACTATAAACGTGAGTTTCAAATGACAATTAATTCAAATAAGCCACCACAAAGTCCAGTCATAGTCTGGTACTCGTACAAGAGTTTCATCTAACTACTTGATTAAATAATTGTTCTTGTTGGGACAACTTCTAGGGGTAGATATCACATGTTAAAAAAAGGAGGAAAAGAAAAAACATCAAAGCCTTTACGAGCCTTCAAGTTTCTTGACATGCTTTATCCAGAGAAAAGATGAGAAGTAAGAATCTTTTTCATTCCATAGATTCATTTGACTTTTCTTTTTCAATCTTCATAGGTGTGGAAATACTTACGGATATAGCACCTATAAGGCACTTACCATGAGAAGTACTAGTATATGATTCTTTTGACACTTCTGTGATTGCAATTTATTTTTGATTAGCTCTACGAGAAGTAACTTTCAGGTACTCTTTAGGTATTATATGCTGACTGCTTATGATATCACAACACGTTAAGATTTATCTTGTGCAGTAAGTCAGTAACAATATAATTAATCTATTCCATTTGGATTTTGCTTTATGATCTTTATGAACCAATTATTCCAGTGTGATGAGACTTTAACCTTTCTCCTACCTGCTTGATCTGCCTCCTCCCGGTCTCCTCTTTCTGGCCTTGTCAGAAAATCCTTTATCCTGCTGTTTTCTCATACTTGTTTGATCTCTCTCTTCCTTCCACCCTCCTCTTTCTGGCCTGTAAATTCAGAAAAGCCTCAATTCTGTTGATGTTTTTGTTTGCTAGTGAATGGATATGCTGCTGCTGCTACTTCAGCGCACACAATCTGGGCTAGTTTTTACTAGCAGCTTGGAGATAATGTAGATATTTGTACCAATGAATTTACATTTTCAAGCTGATCTCACCAATTAGTGTTTTCAAATTTCTACCAGTATTGGTCCTTTTTGGTTGTTTCTATTTCCTGGTTCACTCAGGGCAGTGTATATTATATGAGACCAATCCACTCTGTCTAGTATCATACTAATATTTAGATGGCTTTGAGACTTACTTGACAAGAAGTTGTTCTGATACAGATTGGGACTTAAAGTTGCAGCAGACCATGGTCGAAATGTTTCCACTTAAGTCCGCAGATGCAGCATACAATAAAATCAGTGGAATGCTTGCAACTCTTGGTGATCCTTTTACGAGAATTATCAGCCCAAAGGTACTATGTTTCCACAGAAACACTTTCTTCCCCTTTTGTAACTATCATGGATATGATCCTTCTCATGCATGTGGTCTTTAGTTCGGAGTATCCTGAAGCTGAAATTATACTGTAATTACATATCATGTCTGGTATCTGCTAAAGATGTATATTTTTTGTTCATGATCAGTCTACCATGACATGGTCTAAGAAAGTAGTTTTGGTATACATAGTATTTGATTCCTTTTGTCATAGTGTATTCTACTCAATACCGTGAGACTTTCGCATTCATTGGAGAAATTTGACATGCATATAGGTTATAAAATGCCTTACTGATTACTGTTTCAACTTCCAATCATGCAGGAATATCAAAGTTTCAGAATCGGCAGCGATGGAAATTTGCAAGGGGTTGGGCTATTTATAAATGTTGAACCAAAATCGGGCAACTTGGTTAGTGAACCTGATGTTGGTACATGTTGGTACATGTAATGGGTATTAATGGTTAGTGAACCAAAATTTGCAAGGGGTTGGGCTATTTATAAAATGCCTTGTCATGTTGGTACATGTTCTATCTGATATGTATCCTGTGGCATTCTATATTTTTTATATTGTAATGGGTATTAATGGCATTTTACCATATTTGTATTTTGTGTTATTCATAAACGAAAATATTACAATTATGATAGGTGTAGCAAGTTGATGGGAGAAGGCCATTATGCAAATTTATATGTAACTATTTTAGTTAAAAAATAAATAGTTGATATGAAATTGATGCAGGAACTTGAACATTGCTGATATATGTTTTTGCTAATAAATGCCAATGATGTCTCAGGTTGTTTTGTCTTGTATTGAGGGAAGCCCTGCTGACCGAGCTGGTATACACGAAGGAGATGAGCTAATTGAGATTGATGGTAAGTGTGATTACAGAAGTTTTCTGTTCTTTTGATGTCATTTCAGAACATAAGCTTCCACCCATGAACTTTACCTCAAATTACATCTTGCTTCTTGCTAATTACATTTATATAGGTAAATCTATGTTCTTTTTTATTGTTTGTGTAACCCAAAATCATTCTTTCTGAGAAGCTCCAACATTTCTTTTGGCAGCTCAAGCATCATAACAACACAGTCAATATACTATAGTTTGACACTACATCTCTATTCTGCCTGTAGAACAAACATGTATGTCAAAGCATCAAGATGCTAAGTGAACCTACCTTGAGTGTGGCTAATTATTGACTTTAAATTGCATGAGTTCATTGCAGCTTGGTTGATCTGATCAAACGTCGATTTGTCCTTATTTTAGGAGAGAACCTTGCTGGGTTAGGTAGTGAGGCAGCAGCCCGCAAGCTTCGAGGACGTGTTGGCACTACTGTCAGAGTGAAGCTTCATAGTGGAGTATGTCTCTCTGTCCCTCTATTTCTTCATCAAAAAATTTTGTTTTCAAGACAATGAAGTTAATGGCCCAGAAGTACATGAAGCGGATATATGGTGGTAGAATTTATGTTAATGTAACATTGCTATTAGCTGTCACAGGGTGCTTTAGGGATAGCCTATCCTTTGAGAATAAAAGTCATACTTATTTCTGCCACTAAATGATATATAGTTCCTATATCCAGTGCCATTAATTAACACAAAAAAATATTCTTGTTATTGAAGAATATGATCGTGAATATCTTATTACATCACAACTGATGTTAAACTTTCTGGAAAGCTATTCATTTTTGGTTCAATGACATACTAATGGAGTACGGATAGGATAAAGGGATAAACCTCTTAGATTTTCTTTGTTAAGTTGTGCACACCGGAAGGAATAGAGTTGTATACTCTTGAATATGATATCAGCGCTTTACCTAATTTCATTTATCTAACTTGCCAGGGAGCAGAAAGTGGAATTGGCAATGGGCTAAGAGAGGTATTGCCTCCTTGCATCATATCTGTTTACAAATCCTTTACTCAATGCAGTCATACCTGTGACCAAGCTCTTGCCAAAATTTTATACTCAACCAATTCCATGTTACCTTTCCTATCTATTTCTGATTCTGTGGCTAGAGTCCTGATTTCAGCTTTGTTGTTTGGATTAAAGGTACAACTACCTCGTGAGGTTATTAATCTTTCACCTATATCTAGTACAATCATCTCCCACATATCAATCGATGGCCATGAGCTGAAGACTGGATATGTTAGGCTTTCTGCATTCTCTCAGGTGCCACTTTTGAAGCTAATCTATTGCCATAATTCGTATTTGATGCAAGTTTTTGATATCAAAATAATTATTTCATAGTTTCCTTTCATTCATGCATAATTATTATTTTATTTTGGAATCGGATGAAAGTTTAATCCTAGAGCTGGTACATATCTAGTTTATTTCACCTTGGTATTGATATATGCATGGAATATTGTTGATCAGAATGCTGCTGCTGAAATGGAGAATGTTATTTTAGAAATGGAAGATCAAGGTGTCCAGTCATACATCCTAGATTTGCGCAATAATCCGGTAGGTCATAATGTCATCACTCATTCGCCATATTTACACAGTTAAGTTAAAATTTGAACTTGTTAAAATCCTATATTAAATGATTTTTACAGGGAGGTCTGGTCAAAGCTGGATTGGATGTTGCCCAGATGTGGCTAGACGGTGATGAGACTCTTGTAAACACTATTGATCGCGAAGGAAATATGTTACCCATCAATATGGTCGATGGGCATGCTTTAACACATGATCCACTTGTGGTGCTTGTAAGTTTCACTCATGTATCACTTCCAAACTAGTTGACCTGGAACTTCATCCTTAAACATTGTTCTTACCCACTGTCCCGATTCCACGTCATGGCAACTTAATTATTATTATTATTTTAACCACTATTTATCTTGAAAATACTCTTAAAGTGATTTTCACACATCTTAAATTATTCGACAACTATTTCTCTCAGCACATTTGTGTATCCTATGGAACTAATTGAATCTAAGTTCCTAACATCTTCAAGTCCTTTCAGCTGTGTCCTGATCCCAGTTGTTCTTGTCAGCTTATCCCTAAGTTGATAGCAAATATGCCTGGGGAATCAGAGTGGTCTTCTCCCTCCCTGTTTTCTATTCTACCAATATTAAATTCTAGAAAGAAACATATCTTTGATTTCTCGATGTGCTCCATGCTCTTATCCTTCATCATTGGCTGCAGGTTATAATTGTTAACTTGAACTTGTTATTCCTTTTGTTCTAGTTGTGATGTTTTACTGCATCTTCATATGCACTAAACTTGCAGTGCTGGGAAAACATAGTAGTACATCAGCTAAACGATATGTGCTTCGGATTTGTCAATGCAGGTTAATGAAGGGAGTGCCAGTGCGAGTGAAATCCTTGCAGGGGCATTACATGATAATGGGCGTGCAATTCTTGTTGGTCATACAACATTTGGAAAAGGAAAAATTCAGGTAATTTCTTTAAACTGTTGCACGAAAGTAAATAGTATCTAATTTCCTGCAATTGGCACATTCTATGAAGTCAGTAAAATAAGTAATTTTGATGACTATTAGTGGAAATCCAACTCCCAAAGAGATGCCCCATAAAACCCATTTCAATAGGCACGTGTTTCATCATCTAGATTGTCTCGTTAACTTGAATACATGGAATGTATAGGTATTTACCTTTTTCTATGGTGCAGAGCGTGACTGAACTGCATGATGGATCGGCTCTATTCATCACTGTCGCCAAGTATTTGTCACCGGCTCTGCATGATATCGATCAGGTTGGTATCGCTCCTGACGTGCAATGCACCGCGGATAAGCTGACTTCGTCCATAGCATCTTTATCGAGAGACAAGAACACTACATCAACTCTGGAGTCAGATTCATGTATAATGGTAGCAGAACATGAGCTTGAGGTCCAGAAGCTGAAGGGGTCTGCTTCATGAGATTAGCAATCATCAGTTCCTCATGTAGATGTATCAATAAGTGATAGAAGCAAACCTTTATAGTCATACTGTACATACCACCATTGTTGTTGGTTGTAAGGCCAATGCATAATGAATCTTTCTCTTGAAGTGAATATATTCTCGTTTTTCATCTACTCCAAATTACTCATTGTTGGACTTTGAAGTAAGCAAATTTTATAGATATCATCAACCAAATCCAACCGTATTGTGTCCACATTGTTTTGATGGTTGTATCTGTACAAATCGTTTGTGTTTATATTGTGTTTTTGGTCTTCTTAGTCACGAAGGAGCAACATTTTTCATATATATATATATATATATATATATAGGTTTTATCTAATTAAACCTAAAACGACCACCCATCTCTCTCTTTGCCACCTTTATATATTATAATACATTCCGATGAATAATGAAAATTGAAAATTGCAAAATATCCATTTACTATTCACGATGTATTATCCTCATCAAATCAGACTTAGCAATGTGACTTAGTAAGAAAAAAATCTTATTCAGCAAATCAGTCCCTAACTTCAAGAGAATCAAGTGTATTAGGAAAGATCTCATCCAGCATAAAAGGAGGAAAAAACACAAAAAATAATTCTACCAGACAATCAATTTCGTTAGATAATAATCTCATTCTTTTGTTTAAGATGGACGGACTTATGCACTATAATTTCTGTAGTGCATAACCAATTTACTTTTACATATATTGCTAGGAGTATGTCTAAAATGTTCCCATCCACTACACCTCATCTAACATCTTGTAAGTTGATTTGGTCACCGTGAATTATTTTTTAAAAAAAAATCTTAATTTTCATTGTTCTTTACTATTTATTTGGGCCAAATTCCAATCAGTTTTAAATTACTTTAATATCTTTCTTTATTTTTTAAGCAAGTAGTTATGTAGCCGCAGCATTCTGATCGAAAGGGAAGTATGAAGATTAATTATTTTACTACATTTTTATTGTGTTAGGTTAGTAAGTTCATATTAGTCTTGCATGCAATCTTAGAAACGGCAAATTACGTACTTGCTTACGTCAAAAAATGATTGAAGTGAGATGTAAACCAATACTATCAGAGCAGAGCAAACGTGGCAGTGAGATGCAAACCAATACTATCAGAGCAGAGCAAATGTGGAAGTGAGTTGCAAACCAATACTATCAGAGCAGAGCAAATGTGGCAGTGAGATGCAAACCAATACTATCATAGCAGAGCAAATGTGGAAGTGAGATGTAAACCAATACTATCAGAGCAGAGCCAATGTGGCAGTGAGATGCAAACCAATACTATCAGAGCAGAGCAAATGTGGAAGTGAGATGCAAACCAATACTATCAGAGCAGAGCAAATGTGGCAGTGAGATGCAAACCAATACTATCAGAGCAGAGCAGATGTGGAAGTGAGATGCAAACCAATACTATCATAGCAGAGCAAATGTGGAAGTGAGATGCAAACCAAAATACAATCCCCTCTCAAAAGCACTACTCGACCTATACCTGAAGCACAAATATCACTCTAGCATCGACCAAAGGTTATTATACCAGAGAGAGAGAGAGAGAGAGAGAGAGTTGGAGGGCATACATTATTAGATTAAGAAGGATTGCCTCCCATGGATGGATGACTTCACTTGGGTCAACACACACACACACACACTTGCAAATCGATGAAGAAGACGGATGGACAATATGCTTTGCCGGTTAGACCCCCAACTTTGGACAGCCTTTGATATTCATGCGAAAATGGGGCGATGGTTTGAGCCTCTCGGGAATGAATGACAGCATGGCGCAATCTCGTACAATCAGGTCGAAAGGAATTCTGTGTTCTTCCCACGGATCAAGACTCGGGAGTTCTGCCAACCAATCCGGAAAAGAGATCAAATTGTTGCATCGGATAATATACAAATCGGAAAGGTTCTTGAGATACTTGATACCCTGTGGTAAGCACCTCAGCTCTTCACACCCCGTTATCTCCAACACTCTGACATCTTTAAGGTTCTGCCAACCTACAAATTCAGAGGTCAGCAACTTGTCATTATTCAACCATAGTTCAAGTATAAGGAATTCCCTTGTTGTTGATGGTCGCACATGCAATTCCTTGAATTTTGGACACTGGATTAGTATCAACGTTCTAAGTACCGGGAACACGTCACCTTCACCTTTTGCCTTGGGCCATCTCTCCAGCAGAGGCATTTCTGAGAAAATGAGTGTTTCCAATCTAGGAAATGTGTCACCATTACCATCACCGTAAAATGCATCATCCACTGCACTAATTGAATCCATGCCACTTATCTCAACAGTCTTAAGGTATGATAGTTGTCCAAGCGGTGGTAGCCTTTCACATTTCCTGAGATTGACGAGCTTGATCTCTCTTAAATGCCTTAGATTTCCCTCTTTGCACGCCATCCAGCTCGGGAGTTTCTTCCCCATATAAGAAATAATTTCTAATTTCTCTAAAGCTAGGTTAGGCTGAAGGTCTTCCAATACCTGCTCATGTAATAATGTTGCATCAGAAACTAATGCAACTTCCATATCACACCACTCCCAACATAGTGCCAAACACTTGAGGAATATTTTATCCTTGAGCTTCAAGGCTCGAGCATCTTCCGCGCTTGATAGTCCATCAAGTTTTTTTAGACGAAGTTCTTTAAGATTTGTTAAACTCTGTAATTCTAGGATGATACTTGTGAGACTATCAGTTATAGCATGCATTAATAACTTTTGGAGGTTAGTCAATTGCCCTATTCCATGGGGCAATCGAGTCAAGGACACACATTTTTCCACATTTAGTATTGTCAATTTTTTCATGCTATCCAAACCTTCAGGTAATTTCACCAACCATTGACAACCTTCGACGTCTAACTCTTGTAAATTTGTAAGGGTGATGATCGACTCGGGAAGCATCTGAAGCTTTTGACAGTAAGCTAGTTTTAAAATCAATAAATTCTTGAGTTTGTGGATCGATTTGGATAATTTCTGAAATTTTTCACAATGAGTCAACTTTAAGATCTTCAAATTTTGAAGGTTGAAGATGTATTTAGGAAGTGCTTGAATCTCAGTGTAGGAAAGGTCGAGGTATCTCAGGCTAATCAACTTAGCAATTGTATTAGGTAATCGTTGGATCCTGCAATGTGATAAATGTAATATCCGTAAATGTATCAGATTTGTAAACATGGCTGATGGGATCTCTGTGATTTGACACTTTTCACCTTCTTTAAGAAACTCTTCGGCCGTTTGTAAAATCAAAGTTCTGAGCCTCTTTATGACCCCTGCTGATAAGGCGGTTGGAAACGTGGATGCATCATCAGAATCAAAATCAAAATTAGAATCATAATCAACAAGGCATAGATGGCAACATTGTTTCGGGATTCTTATTGAATCTTGACCAATCCTTGTCCTCATATAGTAATCTGAATCCAACGTTGAAAATTCTAACTCAATTTCACGGATCAATCGATACATCTTCTCAGCATCAAATGATTGTTGTGGCATAAGGTCTTCAGCGATCATCATATGCATGTAGTCTTCCATTGAATAATTAGACCGATCTAAATTGCACAGTGAGCCATAGAGTCGTAATCGTGCAAGTTTAGTTGAAAGATTTTGGAGGCTCATTAATTTAAAATGCTGATGGTGTCTAACATTTGAGTAAGGACGCCAAACATCTGAGTAAGAAGACAAATCATATGCTACTTCTTGCCATCGACTTACCTCAGTGTACCTGAATATTGAGCCCAACGTCTTTGCCAGCAAGGGAGAGCCATCAAGTTTTTTGCCACTAATTGTTTCACCCTTAAGTGTTTGGTATTGTTGCTCCGCAAATTGAAGTAGAAAATTTATGGTACAAGTGTTCTCTTTGTCCTGCGCTGATCCAATGAATGTGTCTCGCATGACCAATTTTATCCAAGAATCCTCTGATAGGCCATGCAACAAGTATTCTCTAGACCCAAATATATGTATAGGCTGCATATGGTTGGTGGTGATGATCACTGTACTTCCGATTCCACCCACATGCAATAGGTTGTGCTTTAGTTGATCCCACTTGTCTTTCAACCCCTCTTCCCTATCATCATAGTATAATATGTCATTCAAGATGAGCAAGTATCTTCTTTGGCCGAGCCGTTCATTCACAAGTAGCCAGATAGCTTGGTGTGATTGCAGATGGTCGCACGATTCTCCCGTGATACATCTTGCAAATTCTCTCCCGATGCTTAGTTGATCCCAAGATAAGTCGAAGGAAACGTCCACCCAGATTCGATGATGGAAATGTTGGCGCACCCAGGGGTGGTGGTAAATCATCCGAGCCAGGGTTGTCTTCCCCGTGGATGACAATGATCGAACCGACCATTCATCATGGATTTCTATGACGAAGGGCTCACCGTTGTTGCTGGATGATTGATTCTGCTGAAGGATCTCTATAATATTATCTCTGTCCTCATCTCTTCCCTCCACTTCCTCTCCTAGGACATACAAGTACTCTTCATCGCATGGATCCATGGCATCCATCATCTCCTTCCGGAGGTCCAAGGCAGACCCCCAAAGGACGAGCTCCTTCAACCTGAGCCCCATCTCCTTGAGCTCGTGCAGAATAGAAAGACGAAAAGCCACTCGGAAGGAGCGCAACAAGGGATTCGACGGTGCCGCTGCCCTCCCCGGCCACTCCAAGATCCGGTCGAGCAGGTTTTGGACGTCCGCAATGGCTGCACCCGCATCCGCCATCCACATGTCCACGTTCGGCTGCGTCCTCGCCCGTATCGTCGCGTCCCGAATGACTGCATTGATGGCCCAAAGGTCAGGAATAATCTTCTCCAGATGATGTTGGATACCTAGCTCTCGACATCGCTTCGTCATATCAGACGATGGCAGCAAATCCAAGAGTATGTGCCGCAAATCCACTCCCGCCATGCTTTCGCTCCTGCCTTTGATGTTTTTGGTTGCGTGAGGTGGGGGTGAGAGCGCTAGAGATATATATTGTGATTGATGATGAGCATATATATGGGGGTGTTGTGGCTACTCTTTAAAGTAAATGCCACCCGCACTCTTGGAATCAATGCTTAGCCTCCTCTAAATAAAGCACTTTCCTCACACGTCATAATTCTTTTTTATTTTTGATCCTAACCTTCGTGCCCAAGCATGAAATGCTAGCAGCTATAAAAGAGGTGGTTGGACTGGACGTTACTTTAACCGACAAAGTGACAAACACAATCCATGTCAACAATTCATAGAATAATCCTTCCTTGTTAGAGAAGTTTTGATTGTTCGTTGTCGTTCCTCTTGCGCTTTGTTATTCCTGTCTTGAAGGTCGTGCCTCTCTTACTCACTCTTTTCCTTTTTCTTTTATTTGTTTATACGTTGTATATTATTTTAGAGTATGCATACTTGAAACTTTCCCAATCAACACTCAATTCTTATTTTCACCTTTGTCCGAAACGATGCAACAATCAAAATGATCGTCAGATTATAGAAAATATGACAATCACGGATTTGATTAAATTCTAAAAGTCTAATCTATCGATAAATTGATCGTCAAATTTTTTTTAATTAATACTATTTTAATGCATGAACTAAGTCTTAATAAAACGATAATATGATTCGACTCTCCTTGTAATAATCATTAAGCATTTTCTAACTTTTTATCTAAGCATTAAGATTAGAGTAAACAAAAATTTATGCCATCATCATCATCATCATCATCATCAGGAGAGGGCTTAGTATTTGTCATATAGTTTTAAATTATATTATGTCAAGCAAATCCGTATTAGTTTTTTTCTTTTTTTCTCTATGAACGACTAATCATTATCTCGAGCAACATAATAACCTTTGTTGGGAAAATATTTCATGTGCAAGATGAAAATTAAAAATAGTCACACATTATTAAACAAAGTAGATAAGTTTGAGTCAAAACAAGAAAAAGAAAATGAGAGAGCTATTACGGCAAGTTTTCTAATCGTTTATTGGTAAATATGGAGATTCCTCTATCATTTCAAAGTAATTCAAATGCAGTTAGTTATTATAACCTTTTATCTAAAGCTTAAATAGTACTCTTTTTTTTGTTTTTTGTTTCTATTAGATGTATATGGCCACAGAAATGTCATTAAAGTGTAAAGACGAAAAAATGTTAGAATCATCAAAGCACGCAACCAATTATCGTAAGATGAAGCCCTTTCGTCACTCTCGACACTGCCTTTTAGCTTCCAATTAGAATCTTTATCTTCAGCATGCCATCATCATCCAATGCAAATCCTACTTTAACGATCAAAGTGGCCAACATAATCCAATGCAACCATTCATCTAATAATCTTTCTTGAGAACTTTATTTCTCCCTGCAGTTTGCAGTTGTATTATACTTTAGATATGCTAATCTTCATATTTATTATTTCACTTATCTTCCCTCGAGTGCCTTGTACACTCTCTTCGTTTCTTCTTTTTCGTTTAGTATCCTTTTTTTTCTTTTCTATTTGTTCTATATTACTTGGAGTTTTTCTATTTGTTTGTTCTAGGACATTCCATTTGTATTATTAAAGTTGTATATGTATGCCACCCGCACCATCACACTCTTGGAATCAACGTTTCATGCCACCCACACTCTTGGAATCAGCCTTTGTCATCAATGCACACAACGGATATCATAAAGCAATCGCTAAAAATGAAGCCCTTTCATCACTCTCCACACTTCTTTTTGGCTTCCAATCCTAACTTTTTATGACACAACAGAAAAAGATAGGTATAAAGAAATGCATGGATGGTAATGTTTATCCTAAATGTCCGGACATACTTATGGTGATGATCAATTGAGTATAGATGAACAGACAATCGTAAAGAGTAGTTACATTTCTTGAGAGGGAGGGAGATTGGAAGCCAGAATGAGCACTAGTTTAGAAGGACGACGTTATACGACTTTGAAAGTTTACCTAATAATTAAAATAGAAGCTGATATGGAATATGTTAGCAGTTGAGCGTGCCCTTAATAGTAGGCTTGAATGAGGCTCCCGGCAATGCAAGGTCCGTGGAGGGTTAATGTATGCTCGCTTGCCTTCATTTTAAAGAGATTGTTTTCGAGACTCAAACCCTGAGTGACAAAGAAGCTGTACCAAACTGTGAACATACATACAAATGGAAGCCCTATAATCCACACTTCAATGTGCATGTTGCGAAATGCACACCAACACAGACACAAACACAAGAAGAATCAGCAGAATTGACACCAGAATCATGAGACATGCTGCCTTAATCTGAGAAAGTTGTAGATCCACTAACTTATTGCTAGCAAATTAGGTCAGTCTCTGTCTAAATTCAACTTCCTGAATTCCAAAGTTCATATCCACGGATTATTTGTACAGATTTCTCTGTTTGCAGCAATTGCAAGAATCTTATTCAACCCTAACACAAAAGAAACAAGACGAGAAAGATCCAAGACGAAGCCTTTACCAGCACAAGGAAGGGGGGAAGCCTTTACTAGAGTAGCCAAGACAGTTTTCGAAGCCTCTCCCACCCGCCGCCCCTCGTCCGCGCCGCCCCCCTCAGCCTTCCGCTGCTGGCCGCCGCGGCGATCGCCTTCGAGGAAATCGGAGCCATACTCGTCGCTGATGAGCAAGTAATGGGAAGAGACGCCGGCAGAGACACCCTACGGTGTCGACGCCCAATTTAGGCTGCTATTAATAGGCCGACCCAAAAGCCTATTGGGCCAATGTTTCGATGAGAGGCCCACTAAATCCATGCCTCTACAATCAGGAGAAATAAGGATAGGAATTAATGCTGCATACTAGAATTTAAAATTCATGAAATCTAAAGTTAAATACTACTACCTAAAATTAATATACATAGTAAATGTGATGATTTTTTTGAATAAAGTATTTTCATCGATAGTAGTGAGACACTTATCGAGACAAATCGTAATAAATAATATCAGAATCGATTATTTAGCATTAAACATGATAAAAAATTATCCATAAATATTGACTATCACCACTTAATTTAGTCTTATATATATATATCAAGAAATTGATAAGAGATTCTAGTATTATAGGATATCCATAGATGATCATGAATTAATCGTCGGAGCCTATATTATGTTGATTCGGGAGTTCTTGAATAGAAAAAAATTATAATATTTTTAAATTAATATAATATTCAAGTAAGTGAAAAAAAATTTGAATACATTTATAATAGCTAAATCAGTATATATAAACATTTGAAAACAAATATTTTTGAAATAATAATCTAATAAATTAACAAGTCGATTATTTCAGCTGATGGGATCTGTTCGTGACAAATAATCTTTAAAAGAATTTTTGATGGATGCTGGAAAATTAAAAAGATGACAAAAGCTTATTTTTCAAACAAACACTGTTAAGACTGAATTGTTGCATCCATAAAGCACCAAAACGTCTACTTATTATTCTCCAAAACATAATCTATCCGAAATCATCACGATATGTGTGTGTGCAAGGCGAGCCACGAAGTAAACACCCCATCAACTGAACTACCCATGCTAATGAAATCATCATCTTCACTATGGAACCCTAACTCTGAGGTCAACCCATTGCTGATCCACATATGGTCAAAGGCCATGATGGCTGCAAGATGAGCACGTTATCATATTATAATACCCTTTTAAATGCCTCGAGGCTTGCAGGGCTGCGTGGACTAACATGGTTCACGACTGCACCCCAACGGATGCGGCAGCTTCTGAGAGCGATGAGCTGCATGCAATTAATATTCTGATGAGTTCGAGACCGTTGCGGCTGCTCGGAGATTCTAACACCAACTTTGATTTAGGTTGACCTTATCCCATCTAGTTCATGGTTTCTAAGATCCTATGTGTGACATTGCAATGCATCCATGAACAGATAAAAGGTGGCAGATACCATACCATGCGTGGCTACTAACTTCATGTCTTCCCTAACCTGGTGAAGTATCTCATTGCATTGACCTAATATGCCTCATGCTCCACTGCTGCATGCCAGCCACTACTGGATAGCAATAAAGCTACTAATATATAAAAAAAAGTAGTAAAACATAAAAATTAGTTATCAGTGTAAGAATTATGGCATAAATATTCATTAGAATTATATTATAAAATCTAGTCTTGACCGGTTCAATTTACTAATTAGATCGTTTGAGTATTTAAAAAATTAAAATATTTTAGTACTACTGTTAATTTAGATATATAATATTTTGGTCTAATAGTTTAGATTAGATCACATTAACAACAACAATATATAGTTAATAATCTAAAGTATTATCTAAAAACTAACCTCGAAGTGACTAGTAAGACTAAAAAAAAATCGAGAATTAAAATCTCGACCCATTTGACTTACTAATTAGACCGTTTGAGTTCTAAAAAATATTAAAAATATCCTTAGTAGTTTTTTTAAATTTTATAAGATTTTTTGAAATACTTTTATTAGATCGTTTGTGTTTGCTCCGTTACTATCGTTTTCTCTCACTATATTTTATATTATTAACATAATTTATATTATAAAATCGAGTATATTTATTTTTCAACAAAAAATTAAACATGCAGTTCAACGGAATCAAATCGATATCCATAGCTAAGATCTAAAGGTGGGCAATTTCTAAATATTGTAACTAAACCTAACCCAAATGTGAGGTTTGGAATCTAAATCTCTCTTTAACTGTATCAAGGAAAGATTATTAACGTATTATTGTTTGGTGCTTTAAAGATTATTAATGCTTATAAATAATCCTTCTACCATGTCCTATTAACTATGACTTTGTGTGCTGCTGGGTGAAGACAAGGAAGAAAAGATGAGGATTAAGCTTTGACTTGATCACGTGTCAACATCCCCCTATGCATCTAACACTGAACCAAGACAAGCTACGATTGGCTACCTCCACAAAGCTATTCCTTAAAACAAGATTATTATTATTTTTATGTGTAATAACAACGTTACAAACAATCTCATTGGTTCGAATGACTAATAAATGGACCACTCAAGGTGTGTGATTCGAAGAAAGACAGGGAGAGGGGTTGGCCCATTCTCTATTTCCTTGTGATCTTAGTTGATGAAGTCTTTCTCTGATGGAAGAGAGCTACCGTAGTCCCGGATTCTCTCAGACGTTGGATGTGTCCGCTTGGGATCCGACGGTCAGGATGAGGTAGCAGAACAATAGATGATGACGGAGAGGAGATGAACGAGAGGCCCCGCTACGGCATCCAATTACAAGGCAGGTAGATAAGGGGGAAGAATCTGAGCCTTCGCTTTTGATGGAGGAAGGCGCTGCAGACGGGCCACGCGCACGTCATAGACAATCTATTCCTCTCGTAGTCGACAAGATCAACACGAAGAAGACCACCCATGTAGCCGGAACCGTTTAAGCCCGCGTCCGTGAGAAAGCCCGATGGGGCAGGTGACGTGGTCGCACGGGGGTGGTTGCTACTGTATTCTCTGCCAAGCGACCAAACAAAGAAGGGCCATTTTCCATTGGCTTACATCTTGAGGCCCCACAGAGGAATGCGGGCCCCGCGGCCAGGAAGCAATAGGAGGAGCCTCTTGTAGATAGGGTATCTAGCTCGATGACATAAAACAGTTCAAAGGATGCCCACCAAAACCGGCCTAAAATAGCTAAAAGAAAGGCGCTGTAGGCGGGCCACACGCCTGTCGTAGCTAAAACTATTCCTGTAAGAGTGGACAAGATCAACACGGAGAAGACTCCACCCACGTAGTCGGACCATTTAAACCTGTGTCGCCGCGAGGGCATTTTGGTTACGTCGTCCGTGGGATTGCCCGATGGCGTGCGTGACGTGGTCGCGAGGATGCTTGCTACCTAATCCTTGGCAAGCGATGAAACAAACAAGGATCAGTTTCCATTCGTCGATACCGATGGGCCCTACATGAACAAGTGGGACCCGCGGCGGGGATGCAATCGGAGGGGCTCTTGGTAGAAAGCGTATCTCCGTCAATTAGGATTGACGGCAAGGAAACGAGCGTGTGCGTGTGTGGGACGTCGCTGCAACGGCTGCCACTCGCTTGCGCTTTAAAGAAAGCTGCGGAGACGACGTCGAGCCGAATAAACAACTATAAAGGCAAATAGAATAAACAATATGAGAGACGATAAGAGCTTGAGATGGAGGAAGGGAGAGAGGAAGAGATGGAGAGGGAAAGGGATCTTTTCGGTGGTCCTCGACGTCGAGTACTGGAGTAATCTGGAGGTTTAGAGGTGGAGGAGGAGACGAGCCGTGAAAGAAACGATTTTTATTTGTTTTATTATTATGATTCATTTCTTTCTATTTCTTTCCTCCTCCTTGTGTTTCCTATAAAAAAGAGATTTTTTTGGTAAACATAGTGTCGGGGTTGGAGAGATTTGAATAGCTCGTGGAATCGTGTGAGAGTTGGTTGTGTCTTCGTCCCTGTTCTGAGGGATTCCGGTTGAAAGATCTGTTCTTTGAAGAGAGAGATTAATAGGTCGAGATCTTGTCAGAATAGTACAGTTAGGAACGGAGGAGAAAAGGCCGTGCCTTTTGCTGTAGATTTAGTGGAGAGAAGAGGAGGAAGTGATGTACAGATCACCGTCGTTGCCGGTGTCGAAGGATCTCAATCTCCCATATCCAAGCGCAGCTCCTTTCGACGGCCACCGGAAGCAGGAATCCAGCTCCAACATCAATCCTTACGGTGGCCACCACCACCAGGAGGAGGAGGAACAGCAGCAGCAGCAGACGAGCTCCGGCCTCCTCCGCTATCGATCGGCCCCGAGCTCGATGCTCGGAGAACTCTGCGACGACTTCCTTCCTGAGAGAACCTCGTGCCCTGAGACCGAGACCTTGTTCGCCAGATTACTAGCCCCGGATCTCCAGATCCGCGACAAGCCTCCCGGTAGTGGCGGTGGTGCAGCCATAAGCCAGAGGAGCCCTCAGTTCACGCCGCCCCATCCGCCACCGGCAGCTTTCTCCTCGCAGATCATGTTTCACCAGCTGCAGAAGCAGCAACATGTGAGCTCGATGGCGATGGAGACGGAGCAGATTAAAAACGGAGACGCGGACAGCTCCTCCACCCACCCACGGCACAGCAGCTCTCCTGGTGGTCTCTTCTCTCACCTGAGCGTGGAGGATGGTACGCAATCACTTCCCTGTCTTCTTCAACATCTGAAGACTCCCTATTCTTTCGCTCTTCATTCTGCTCTTCTGTAGGATATCCTATGCTGAGAGGGGTGGCTGGTTTCCGCAACGAGGATGAAGCAGACAGGCTAAGGAACCAGATAAGCTTCTCGTCGAGGCAAAACTCCATGATGTCGCAGATCTCCGAGGTCATCGGTGGCAGCAGCCCCGAAGAGAGCAGCGGAGGCAGGTGCTACATGCCGGGATTTCCAACAAACACTTGGGACACCTCCTCCTTGTTCTCGGGCAGAGACGACGGAGGGAAGACGACGACTGATGCGCTTAATCCTGCGGAGCTTCAGGTAACTCCTCTTGACCTCCCTCTGTCCCTCCTGTCCATGAGACGCATCATCGTCGTTCTCCACCTCGGAACAGATTGGAGAGGCGAGGAATCATGCCGCAGGATACTTGGCGTTCCAGGATGCTGTCCCCTGCAAGATCCGAGCCAAGCGCGGCTGTGCAACTCATCCTCGAAGTATAGCCGAGAGGGTAATCTGCTCTTCTTCTTCTTCCTCTTCTCACCTCCATAACTACTCACTGATGGAATTCTTCTTCTCTCTCAGGTGAGGAGGACCAGAATCAGCGAGAGGATGAGGAAGCTGCAGGAACTCGTGCCGAACATGGACAAGGTATCACCTGCTGCAACAGCAATTCACGTTGTTGCAGCACTCTAATGTTCATTTCCACTTGCAGCAAACGAACACAGCCGACATGTTAGATTTGGCCATCGGATACATCAAAGATCTGCAGAAGCAAGTGAAGGTACTGCGTCTGCAAAGGTTTGCTGGTATTGTAGTTCTTGTGAATGTTAATTGGATTGTTTGTTGTTGTGGAAGACACTGGCGGACAGCCGGGAAAGCTGTGCCTGTTCATCCGGGAAACAGCAGTCGCATAGTTAGTGGTGGTTCATTCAATCAGAGCTCAACAATGTTCTTGGCAATGGCGGATTCAGTTGGAGGGGAGATCCACAATGTTCTTGCCGAAAATGGTATGGGAATCATCGACAAGAGGATGGATACAGAAGGAGGAGCTTCTTTTTTTGGTAGACTTGTCTTGTGTTTCCTTTTTATTGCCTTTTTAGCTGTGGAAGTTGTGGACGTACCTTCGGGCTGAATCAAAGTACAACATGATTTCTTTCTCTGTCGAAAGAAGATGGGATGAGAGAGAGAGAGAGAGAGAGAGCAAGAGAGGAAAGAGGAGATGAGAGCAGCTGTATCCATCTCGCATGTATGGCGGTAGGGTCACGATTCTCTCTCTCTCTCTCTCTCTCTCACTCTCGCATCCTCGGCTTTCTGCAGTCGTCTTCCTTCCTCCAAAATTCACTGGCTGAAAGATCGGAAGATAGATTCGTCTTATAATAAATTATTAAAATTTTTATCAATTAATTTAATTAATATTTTTAAAAATATTTTTTTTATTATGATATAAAAATCATAATAAAAATAAAAAAATCACGTTGATCGAGGATTAATTCAATCTAAATCTAAATAAATATTCGTATAAAAAATAAAAGAATAATTTCACATTGATAAAAATTAAAAGAGTTAGATGCTATATTTCTAATAATCCGAACCGATCAAGCCATCACTTCTATAACTCAGACAGTGACTGATGGTTGACTTGGTCAGCCATTTGTAATCAAAAGAGGCTAATTGTCTTGTTATAGTTAAGCTTTACTCTTAACTCTCAAGGATATAAATTCTCGCTAACTTCGATCATAATTTGGCTCGAGCATCCAAGGAGGTTGGCTCTCCGCAATGGTTGATAATTCTATGGAAATATGTAGTGTTTTCAAATGGTATGATATCAATATTCTAAGAAAATAGATCAGGTCAATTGCATTCCTGTTTTCTTTATGTGATCACTGGTCAGATTCACCAATGGTTTCTTTATGTGAGTTCGTTTTCTAGAATTCCTTCTCTTTTTCTTATCTTTATATTTTTTGCTCTTCCATTTTAATTCCTCTGCTCCGAAACTGGACATGGCATGAGTTGGCATTGCATTGTGGTAATTGATCATGAGCTCACATCTTGTGTCTTAGTAACTTTCTTTGCCATCAAAAAATGTTTGTGAAATACTCCAGCATTCATGTCTTATCTATGGACTTAAAACTCTTAGATTGAATGATGTCGATTAAGAACTTTAGGTGGTCGGTATCGAAGCAAGGATCATATGTTCGGATCTTTTTTCGCAACACGCTTGAAAACAAATCTCTAATTAATTTTGCATGTTGGGTTTGACATATAGATCATGTCTCATCTACATATTTAAACTTATAGATTGGATGACATCGATCAATAGCAATTCACATATGGTCTCTTTGAAACGAAATTTATGACAAAAAGTATTCATGACAGTAAGAAAGATCTAAAAAACCATAGATGAAAAAGATGAACATGCTTTTCTTCCAGAGACGAGCTTAAACAGAAAAGACTCCAACTTTCAAGTAATGTAGCTTAACTTGTAATCCCCTTAATTTGATATTTCAACTTTAAACAGAAGCATTGCCATCTAACAGTTTTCGAGTTACCTCAAATTGGCCAAATTCACAAGGGATAAAAAGAAAAAATACTTCACAATAAAGTTCAACCGGACGGCCATGAAGATAATTCTTAGAACGTGGCCCAATTATGCACTGGAATGTCTCTGGAATGATATAACAAAGTCGAATGAGCTGCAACTACGACGTAGCATCAGATGAAGGAATTATGGGAGGTAACTATGCTTCGTCATCTGCAATATGTTCTTTGCATGTGATCCACATACAGTGATGTTGTACCTTCCGCATATCCAAATTTTCAGGCACATGTAGGATGCTTATCACATCGGTTTCATCTGTGGACCGACATCTCTCCAAGGAACCATCAATAAAAGCTGATATCAGAGGGAAGAGAAAAGGGGGATCCCTGGTAAAGTGACGCCGGCATCAACAATGAAGATGTTGCCTGAAACATAAGCTGATGAGTCATGAATAAGGTAACGGATAAGTGATGTCAATGCAGGATCTGACTTTCCATAGGTTCTTAATGGGACTGTTCTTTCAGCCACTCTATTCAGCCATTCCCTCTCCATCAGACCAGCAGTGATCTCTGACCTGAACAATCCAGGTGCTATAGAGTTCACACGAATATTAAATGCTCCCAGTTCCAAAGCCATTACCTGTTCAAGCAAGATAATATTGTTAATATCAACAATAAAAATAGAATAAAGCTTTCCCATAAAAAAAAAGTCATGTTAATTTGACATGAACACTGCCTTCAATGCACATGAAATTCTAAGAAAATAACAAAATCGATTTGAAGAGGAAAAATGAACTTTGAGAAGATACGAACACTAAACTCAGTTAAAGGTCTGCCTTACAGTTCCCACGTAAAGACAGCAAAAGACCAAGTGGAGCCTACTATCAAAAGCATCAGATCTACTACCTGAGGCCAATGAATACCAGATTTTTATGTACATTAATAAGCAATTGTCCAACTCCTCTCATGCAAAAATCATGAGTGAGAACCACTGTTGATGTCAAATACAACTTGATTGATCACTTGCAAATCAATGAACGGAAGCAAAAATGATTATAAAGGTACGTTTCAGACTAGCTGCAGTACATTTAGCACATATATCATACACCCACAGTTGTAGAACTTCTTAACATTCACTATAGTTTCACACATAAATCTATATAATGTGGCATAGCTATACGTGCTAAAAGTGGTCATATCCTTGCATTTTCACATAATAGCAAAGAATTTTAACATAGTAACAAACAAATTTACCCAAAATAACAATTATGAGAGATTATACCATCAATTGGTTTTTTTTTTGTGTAGCCAGTGCCTTATATGCACCATGACCATGGCAAGGTCCATGCTATGAAACACTGTGTTACATGCATACACAGACATGGGCAATCCATGATTCGACCAGACAGATTACCTTAGTAATTGCATTTGCACCCGTCTTTGATGCGGAATATGCAATTCCTCCAGGTAAATGGCCACGATCAATGCCACCAATAGATGAAATATTTATCACACACCCTTTCTGTTTTGCATCACACATGCGTTTGCAGACATGTTTGGATACTAGCCATGTTCCAGTTAAATTTGTTCTGATGTTGTTACTCCATTCCTCCTCAGACCAATCCAATGGTGAATTTACAGCACCTGGGACAGACAGCAATTTAGAGATGTAGGAAGCAAGCAAATTTAACACCAACTGGAGGCTGATTAAAGTGAAAGATTAGAGTAAAAATATGTGTGAAAATACGGTTAATGTACGAAATGAATAATGCTGATCACAATTGACATGCTTATATCTTCTGGTTGGTTGGAGTACTTAACAATTCTGTAACCTATGTCTCAAATTTGCATTAAAACAAATAAACAGTGAAAGCCTGAAGCAGAACAAGAAAAATCCAAGATCATTTTATTGTAAATTCTCCTTCACTGGAAGCAAAAGGTTAATGTCTTCATTATAGTATCATGTGAGATTGCAACCATAGAATGATGATCTATAGCTAAAGTGAAAACATGGCAAGTCAAAAATGCCTAAGAAAATTAATCTAGTTATTGGAGAGGGTGAATAAAGAGAGAGCTAATCCATAGTAGCAAAGCTCTTCAAAACTTGAAATTCCAGCAATAACATCCTTGTAAAGCATGCTCGATAATTAGCAAAATATTATGTCATAGAATAAAGAAAATATTCTGTCACAGGATCACTTTACATTCTTTTGAAGTCATCACTCTGTTCACTCTTTATGGTATCAGAATACCAACCTGAATTTAACATGAATTCTACATGTAGCTTCTCAAAACACTATGAACTATAAGTAGGAACATTCAACTAAAATGTATTAAATTAAGAAAGAACAACAATAATAAAGTCGTAAAGTCCCAACTATTTGGGACCGATTACATAGATTTTTTGTCGTCATTGAGATCTGTAAAGAGTCATATCTTTAATTAAGTTAAAGAGTATTTAAATATTTATTTAAAGTGAATATGATAAGTTAAGTGCATTTAAATCCTTATTTATAATAAATATAGTAAGTTTTGAATATTTATAGTTAAGTTAAGAGTCATACTACACGCAAAATTGTGTCAGATCTTATAATCATGAAAATTAACTAAATTAAGTAGGAACACTAAACGAAAATATACTAGGTTTAGCAGTAATTCACTGTCAGCTTACTTCTTCTTTCTTGCTCTATATTATGCAGTGCCATCTTATCTCTTCTTTCTTCTGCTATATTCTTTTTCACATGGCTTCTTACCTTTTCTTTTTCTCTGATAGAACATGGGGTTGTTACAACAACGTTTTTATTAGCAAAAAAAGATATGGTCACTATTGGATCTAAACCATAATGAATGCCCTTAGGTTCCAGAGCCAATAAACAGCTCTTCTATAAACGGGACTGATTTGTTTGGAACAGAGAAAAGTGGGTTTATCAAGCTCTATCCTTTTCGATTGCCAGCACACAGTATTTCCCTAGAAAAATTCATTCTATCGTTATCAACACAAATCCCCCAATCTTAAATCCTCTCAGTGTACTTTGACGTCATTCTTTTACATGGTCACAGTCAATTAGTTTGTTGAATGCCAAAATCTTCACCAAAGATGATCGCAGATGTACTTTTTCCAATAAAGAAAAATAAGATTTACCTCGAATTCCGGCGTTGTTCACCAACGCATCGATCCGACCAAACGCATCCCACGCCGTCTGCACGGCGGCGGCGATGACCGCCTCCTGGGCGCTCACATCGAGCTCCACCGCCACCGATCGGACGACAGAGCACGCTCCCACTCCGTTGATCTCGTCGCAGAGAGACCTCAGCAGGTCGGTCCGCCGCGCGGCCGCGACGACGCGGCAACCGGCCCTCGCGAGGTCGAGGCAGAGGTCGCGCCCGATACCGGAGGATGCACCAGTGACCATCACGACCTTGTCGTCCAATCTCCTCCATGGCTGCCGGAGCCCACGCGCCCTCTCCGCCATCATAGATCTCCCCCCGCGCGTTGCCCCAAGATTACGGAGAGAACGCAGAAGAACGAGGAGTTAAAAGAGGCAGCGATGGGGTAAGGGAGGATCAAAAGCTGGGTTTTATGGCTTTGATGGTGAGACTAGGTAATTACGGTGAATGCCACTCCACGAAGAACTTGGACGACGGAGGTCAATGTTTGACCGTCCCGAAAAGAATGTCTCAGATACTTTTTAATTGGCGTGAATTCTCGGAAGTACCCCCCCATCTTTTTGCTTTTATCTGACAGTGCCTCTGGTTTCTCTTTTTCTCTTTGTTCCCAAAAAATACCAATCTATAATTAAAAAATGATAAGACTTCTAGTATATTTTTTGAATTAGTCAAAAAATTAATCATTTATTCAAAAATATTATAATTGATATAATAACTAAGTTTATGCTATATATATATAGCTTCTAAACTGATAAGAATACCTATTTAAAATCTAATTATTTTAAATTATATTTCTAGTCACTACTCCTTACTTAATAGTTTTATTAGAATTTTTTTGTATCTTTTTATTTTCAAACTAATAAGAATACATATCTGAAATCCTAAAATATTTTATGAGACTTTACTAAATAAAATAAGGTTAATAATTAATGTTTGTGAGAATTTAATTGAATTAAGAATGAGTTATAGTATTTTTGAATATAGTTAATGTGTTTGTAATTCAGTAAAAAAATATCTTCATTAATAATCGACGAGTTGGTCGAAGCCATTCTTCAATTAACTAAATCGATTATAGTATTATGGTTACTGAACCAAAAACATTGTGATTACGCAATGACTTATCTTTTTTATTATAAATTTTTAGTAAACAAATATAAATATATAAGATTTGATGAAAATATATATGCCAAGGTTTAATGCTAAGTAGAGAAAAAATTATCATTCTTTATCTTGAAACGTACTAAAATTACTTTAACCTCTCATGAAAATTATTTTGTGAAATTTCAAAATCTATAATAAAATTGATAGTTAAGATAAGTGGGGATGTAAACTAATTAAGGTTTTCACTGCAGTATTTTTGGATAAAGTCATAATAGATTGATTCAATAACCAAAAAATGCTACAAGATTTATGTTACCGAATAATGTTTCACATTTGTTGTTGTCACTCTTTTATAATAAACTAGAACATATATTATAAGATTTTCTCAATCTTCTTATAGATCTAAATTTAGGGTTAAGTGAGGAAAAAAGTGAAGATTTATCATATTTTATTTTTAAATATGTCAAAACCTTATTTGTTTTCGTACCAAAAATACTCAGATTCTTATATAAATTATTTTCACTAAACCTCAAATTTTATATTAAAAAATTAATATTAAGGTAGATGTATTTTAAACTAATTAATATTTTATTATTATAATTTTGAAGAACTATGCTGTCTTGGTTCAGTGATTATAAGTCTCCGTTAAAGTTATAGTATTTTTAATAATACTATAAAAATATCGATCCGTATGATTAATATTTTAGTATCATGTGGTCAACATCTTGATCTTGCATAAGCAATACTTTATCATTGATATCTCATCATCATGAACATAATATTTTCATAATATAATATTATTTTTCGAACATTATCGATCATGTTATGTCTGTTGTAAGTTCCCAGATTCGATACAACACAACTTTACCAGAGTCAAAGAGATGCATGAAATCATCACTTAGACTTGATGCACCTCTATGAACGTAATAGTCCTATAGCTACACTATAAACCCTCTTACTTAGTTTCCTAAATAGAAAAAAAAATCTCTCACTCTATTGGTTCTTATCGAAGGGATTTAATCGAGTAAACCATCGGTGCAGTTTTGTAGGGTTTGACACCTTTAGGATTTGATTGTTTCCGACATTGACACCTTTAGGATTTGATTGTTTCCGACATCTACAAGATGTCGATAAGGAGGAGGACTTTCCCGACATGTCTTAGGAAAATCATGCTAGTCCAGATCGAACAAATCCGATTAATCACAATCCATCTCATTCCCTCTTGGTGTCATCGTCCTAGCTGAATTATTTCATAGCCTAACCTAGTAAGTTCAAGCTTCAGTGGGAGTTGTCCAAATCATACTTTCTTTTATTCAAAAACTTTCTTAGATGACTTTTCAAGGCTCAACTCTCTTAGTAACACTAATTGTCCCTATATAACCTACTATGCCTATCATATGTGCTATGGTAAAGTTAGGACCATTTCTAGAAAAAGCTCATCAGAAGTTGTAATCCTCATGACATACCCTAGAGAAGGACACCGAAGGGCATAAGAAGTTAGTCGTTCAATCAGTCAAACTTTATCCGAAAGCCCATGATCACCTCTTCGAGATGGATCAACATCTTAAGCATAGAAAAAAAAGAAAACAAACAAGGAAAGCAACTCGAGCTTGACCCAGACATTTGATCTCTTTTTATTAGAAATATTTGGGAGGAGCCTATCCCACTAAAAAAATATCTCGCCAGAGACATACAATGAGATTTGGAATCCATTGGAGTACATTATAATATTTGAATCCATCAGAACTACTAACTCCCTTGTCAAATTTTTTCGACCATTTATGGTGGGTAACATGAGAATGGTTTGCCAGGCTACCTCCATACTCAAATATTTGATTTGACTAGTTGGCCATGTAATTTGAGTTAAATTTCAACAGTTATAAACTTTCGATGAAACTGACAACCTTCTTGCTTATGATACAACAAGAGGAGGGTGAGACGTTAGCCAATTATGCTAAGAGTTTGATGACGAGGTGTGTTTGGTCTCGATCCTAACCCATTCATTTTAATAAATACTCATATTAGTAACTTACCAATATCAAGATTTTTCTTGTTTGTAATTACCAAACTACCAACCACATACTCAAAACTTCTCTAGGAGGCCAACTAATATGTTATAATTGAATCCTCAATTTTTTGGAAGAGAAAAGTTGAAGGAAAAAAAGTTGACAAAGGAAGAATTTATATACTGAATGCCTAAGAAACGAAAGGTCAAAAAGAGATCGAAGCCCTTCCTATAGAGAATTCATACCATAAAATATATCATATATAAAAGTATTTATACATATAAGGGAAAACATACTGTTGCGTTTCCCTCGACCACTTAGGGTACTATCAGTAAGAAGATATCAGTCGAACTATTATAGATTTCATAAAACCATGGTTATTACATGAATGATTACTATTTGGCTCAAATTTAAGATACATCATCTAGACCATAAGGCACTATTAAGTGTTAGGCATATGTGATTATAGGTGGTCTTGCCTCTAGGGAAGATAGTAGCAATCGATTAACTTCTAGCCAACATCCAATTCAAATGATCATATTTTGATATAACACATTGTAACCGGTCTAAAGAGACAATTGATCGATTTAGAACTATATTTTGACATAACATGTTGTAATTCGTCTCAAGCAATAATGGATAAAGGGAAAAACAGGAAGTAGGTAACTAGTTGTTTTTCAAAGTTTGTTTTGAGGATTAAGTCAAATAGAGACATTACTAAGGAAATACTAAAGTAGAGTGTACCTCATACAAAAAAAAAACTAAATTTTTTTTTCAAAGAATTCACTCATTTTTTTTAACACATATAGACCTAAATGCAAAAATAAGTGAACAAAAATTATAATTTATCATCTATTATTTTTGAAATGTATCAAAACATACTTAATTTTCATCCATGGCCACTTAGCTTATAAAAATTATTTTATAAGTGTTGATTGATTAAAATTTTCATCCATGACAAAAACATTTCCCATATAGATGAAACATGGTTCTCCAAGAAAAAAAGCTTGGGAGAAACCAGCTTCTAAGAATAAAGACATTTAATACTTCTATGGTGGATTTGACACCAACAAGTTGGACTTGGGGAGTCCTGTTACTGACGACGGATCAAGGAAAGGAGATCTACAAGTAGAAATCGATAAGCTAACAAAACAGCCGAAGTAGCCCAACATGGAGAAAGCACAAATTACATCCAAATAAATAAATATATATCTCATACTTTACATTTTGATTTATAATTTTATTATATATAAATTAGTGGGGGATTGTTATATATAAGAAATTTACTATAAAAAAAGGGAAAAAGGAATGAGGAGGAACATTCAAAAAAGGTCATAACTCTTCAGAATAATTGAAAAGGGTATTTTGGCATCTTTTTAATGTCTACATAAACTCCTCTATAGTGAAATAGTAAAGTATGAGAAAATTCTAATGCAAACAAAGTATTAAATTCTTTCTTTCTTTTTCTTTTAATTAAATTCTTATTCTTCGAGTAATCAAGAACTGTAGTCGTGATTATTTTAGGTAATAGGTATTGTGTTTTGAAGATAGAATTTCCGTAAAGCCATTTGCATGGTAGTAAAAAAAATTATCTATTTTCGAGGATAGTTTTCTCGAGACGCATTGCCTAATTCTATTTTGTTCAAATTTTACTCTAACCTTTGGTTAAAAAATAAAAATAAAAATTCATTTTGAAGTCTAAAAAGGTCATATCCTGTTTTACTACCATCTTTTAAAGAAATGTAGCACTCCTTATGTAGCGTATTTATCTTAAATATCATATTTATATCGTCGTGTTATTTATTATATATCAAATTTGTTTGATAGAAAAATAATTATTGTATTACCTAACAATGCCAATATTCCTGAACATACTTCACCAGTAAAACCTCTTCGATGATTAGATTTCATATCCTATTGGTTCCTTACAAAAATTGCATATGCCAAACATCCAATATGACTTCTCTGTCCATTAAATCTGTATCTTTTTTAATTGGTATCCATTTATGATGGATTTAAAAAAAGGAAGCTGGAATAAAAAGTATATGGCACTTATTATGTAATCAACAGAGAATATTTTTATATTTATATTAATATTTTAATATAAATATTCACTACAATTTGACGAAGATAGATAGCTTACGGTAAGCTGCAACATTGTCCCACCGAAACGGACGAGGCAGTGAAGAAGTCGCAGATTCCGCAAACGAAAGGACATGATCTTGCCAACGTCATCATCAAGTCTTTCTATGCATACCTGATCCAGTCCTGGCCGTTCCTCTCGCCCTGGGCGGCGGCCACAAGTAGATCTCATGAC